GAGGCGGAGGGGGAGGCACGGGGGCGGGGGCGGAGTGGGGGGGAGCGAGTCACTGTGTGTTTGTGGAGCTGGAACGAGTGGTGCTATACTGTGCTGCATGCGGGGAGTATGTGGTGGATAGTGACTTTAACACGTGTGTGATTAATGCGGTGGGGGTTATGAGTGACGTGGACGGGCCAGCGCTTGCTTGCCTCCCTGCTGCTGCTGCTGCTGCTGCTTCAGGAGACGCAGCAGGAGCAGCAGGGTTCAAGAGGGAGGGGATGAAGGGGAAGAAGCGAGGGCTCAAGGAGGGAGTATTAAAGGAAGGCATATTGAAAGAAGGGATGCTGACAATGAGTGCGATGACATCAACGGGCCTGGGGGGAAGAACCACCCGGTTGGTACTTCCTCCTGGGCCTCAGGGCTCACCTGAAGACCTGTGTGGGTATTCACCTGAGAATTCACCTGAGATCGACGCGGATTCGGATGGGAGGGAAGTGCGGTTGCGGCAGGCGGATGGGATGGCTGTGAGTGTGAGTGCGAGTGAGCGAGGCAGCAGCTTTGCAGGTAGTGACAGCCATGGTGTGACCCGTGGTGCTGCTGCTGCTGCTGCTGCTGCGGGTGGTGACTTTGCGACTGCTCCTCCTGCTCCTGCCAGTAACCCAGGCGTCGGGGGCTCTGATGCTGCTGCTCGTGCCGGTTCCTGCTCGTCCGTATCCCTCAGCAGCGGGGGGGACCCGGCGGAGGAAAAACATACTCTGGCTGCACTGCTTGGCGCTGGGCGGATGGAAGAGGAGGGCAGAGGCGAGGGGGCGGAGGGGGGTGGGGATGAGGTGGGGGAAGAGAGGGAGGAAGGGGGAGAGGAGGGGGGGGAGGAGGGGGGGGGAGGAGGGGGAGGGTAAGGAGCAAGCGGAGGGATTGGAGGAGGATGAGGAGGGGTTGCAGTTGCAGGGTGATGCTGAGTGGAATGGTGGTGATAGGGGTGCTGTAGGAGAAGGGGTAAATGGAAGGGAGGTTCTTCTGGGGGAGGGGAAGGGCAAGAAAGTGAGAGAAAGGGAGGTGATGGGAAGAAAAGGGGACGGGGCACTGGGTGGAGTGGGGCAGGGGTAGGGGGTGGGGCACACTCACTGGCAGCAGAAACAGCAGCCGCGGCAGCAACTGAAACGGCAACACCAAGAGCAACAGCAACAACAGCACCCAGAGCAAAAGCAACAGGCGCAGCAGCAGCATCAGCAAGCCTTTGTGCCTCATGGGAAGGGATGGTGGCTACAGGTGGCAATCAGGAGGCGAGGGTAGGGAAAGGCAAGAAGGAACGGAAAGAGAAGGCGGAGAAGGGGCAGCAGCAGCAGGCGCAGCAGAATGTGCGGCCGCCTTCACCCAGAATCACTCGCGCTGCTGCCAGGCAGTTGCAGCAGCAGCAGCAGCAGCAGCAGCAGCAGCAGCAGCAGCAGCAGCAGCAGCAGCAGCAGCAGCAGCAGCAGCAGCAGCAGCAGCAGCAGCAGGGGGAGGTGGAAGAGAAGAGGGAGCAGGGTCAGGCGTCTGTTTTCCAGGGGCAGCGGTCGGGAGGGGAAGTGGGTGGGGCGATAGGAGAGACGTGGGCAGTGGAGGGGCAAGAAGAAGAGAGAGGGGACCAGGCACGAGAGGGGAGAGCGCTTAAGGTGGAAGGGGACAGGCAAGGAAGTAGAGGTGAGCCCAGTGGTAAGGGGAAGGGGAGGCGGAAGGAGAGAGTGAGGGAGAGGGTGAGGGCGAGGGGAGGAGGGGATGCAGCAGAGGTAGATGTAGGCGCAGGGATGGGGGAAGGAGAGGATGCAGTTACAGGAGCCAGACCGGAGGGTGCTTTCCGGGACGGTATGGCTGTTGTGATTACACCTCCTCCTCTTCCTCCTCCCCCCGCTGTGAAGAGGCCGCGTTACGTGGTAACCAGGGAAGGAGGGGACGTGGGACTAGCGAGCAAGAGGGAGAGAGTGAAGGCGGGGGAGGAAACAGCATCGGTGTTAGAGGGCGAGTTTGTGGGGTTTAGCGTGCCCAGTAGCATCAGGGGCCATTTGGGAGGGGCAGCAGGGGAAGGGATACGCGTGGGAGTGGGACAGGAGGCGGTGTATGGGAGAGGAGGGAAACGAGGAGGGGGAGGGGGGTCAGGTGTGGAGGAGGGTGGTGTGGTGGGTAGGAGTGTGAGCACTCGTGGACGGAGGAGCCGAGCTGCTGCGGTGGCACCTGCAGATGCGGGTGCTGCAGCGACAGCAACCGATGCAGCAGCAGTGGCGACAGGAGGAGCAGGAGCAGGAGCAGGTGCAGGAGCAGGAGCAGGAGCAGGAGCAGGAGCAGGAGCAGGAGCAGGAGCAGGAGCAGGAGCAGGAGCAGCAGCAGCAGCAGCAAGAGCAGCAGCAGGAGCAGGTGCAGGAGCAGCAAGAGCAGCAACAGGAGCAGGTGCAGGAAGGGGAAGGGGATGGAACTTCAAGAGGGCTGTTATAGCACAGTTACGGGGGGAGGCTGATGGCCGGGGGGGATCGGGTGGTGTGAGTAGGGGAAGGGATGCAGAGGACCAAGCAGAAGCAGGAGGAGGAGGAGGAGGAGGATGAGGAGGAGGAGGAAGAAGAAGAGGAGGAAGTGGAAGAGGGAGAGGGTTTTGACAAGACGGGGGTGAGGTTTCAAGAAGCAGGAGGAAGAGGGAGGAAGAGGAAGAGGGAGAAGGGGAAGAAGAAGAAGAAAGGGCAAAGGGACGAGGGGGGAGGTGCCATGCAACAAAGACGCCGCTCTGTAGACGTTAGTGGATTGCACAGTAAGGGGTACAGCATTGGCAGAAAGAGAGCAGCAGCAGCAGCAGCAGCAGCAGCAGCAGCAGCACCAGCAGAAAATGGGAATGTAAAAGTCCACAGCGAAGGGCACAGCAGAGGACATGTAAATGGTCGCTCCCTTGCTCCGGATGCTTCTGCTCCTCTTTCTTTTCCTCCTTCTCTTTCCCTTTATCGCGTCGCTTTGGGAGCACAGCCGCGGGGAGTGGTGGGGGAGGGAGGGGGAGGGGAGGAGCGGCAAGAGTTCCCGAGGGAGGAAATGTTGCACAAGGGGATGAGCGAGGCAGGGGCGGCAGGGAGGGAGGTGAGGAGGACACAGAGGAGAGCGGTGGTAAGTGGGCAGCGGGAAGGGGAGGTAGGTGCATGGGCGGAAGGACATGCCGGTGGGGCCCGTAAGGGGAGGGTGAGTGAGGGGAGGGTGAGTGAGGGGAGGGTGAGTGAGGGGAGGGTGAGTGAGGGGATGTCTGTTAATGGGAGCAATGATGCTGTGGCGGTGAGAGGAGAGGGTGCAAGACAGATGAGCATGGGAAGGCGAGCAGCAGGGGAACGGGGTGCAAAAGGAGGTGTGGAGGAGAGGGATGTGAGGGAAGGTGTAGAGGGGGGTGTGGGGGGAGGTGTGGTGGTGGAGGGGGGGGAGAGAGCGGGAATTTTGAAGGGTGGAAGTGAGGGACAGGTGTGGGGCGAGAATGTGGAAGGGTATGTGGGTGCGAGTGTGCGTTTGGCAGAGAGAGGCGTTCTGGAAACACGTGAGGTGCACGGGAGGAGAGAGGGAAAGGGCAAGGGCAAGGGCAAGGGCAAGGGCAGCAGGCGCAGGAGTGAGAATGGGAGGGCGAGCAGGGAGGGACGGGAGGGACGGGAGGGGCGGGAGGGGGGGAGGGGCGGGGTCTTAGCACAGGGGAGTTAGAGGTTGGGGGAGGAAGGGTGGGCGGGAGTGCTCTTGCTCTTGCAACGCCTCAAAGATTGGGAAGTAAAGAGGATAAGGCTGCGGTTGCCGCGGCGGTGATGGCGGGAGGAGTGGAAGGGGAGGTGCATGGGGAAGTGGAGGGGGGCAGGGGAGGGTTAAGGGAGGGAGGAAGGGAAGACGTAGGGAGGCTTATTTTGAGCGTCCTAAGAAGGTGTGTATAATACGAGGGGAGTTGAATAGAGTGGTTGGGAGGGGAGGGGGCGAGAGTGAGGTTGGGGTTTCTGTGGCAAGGTGTGCGGAGGAGGGGGGTGCTGGAGGAACGGAGAGAGGTGAGGGGGATGAGTGGGGAGGAGGAGTGCAGGGATTGGAGAGGGAAGAGCGAGGAAAGAGAGGAGAGAGTGGAGAAGGAGGAGAGGGCATGGATTGGCATGGACTGGAGGGAAGAACGGAGCAAGGGACAAAGAGAGGGGATGAGAAAAGTGTGGAGGGCAGGGGGAAGGGAAGGGAGAGGAGTAACGACAGGGCAGAGAAGATTGAGAGGGGGGAGAGGGCAGAGAGGGAGGAGAAGGCGGAGAAAGAGGCGTCAGATTGGCACGGCGGGGTAGCAGCCAGGGAGAAGCAGGCATTGGGCGAGGCAGCAGCCGCAGGAGTAGCAGGAACAGGAACAGGAACAGGAACAGCAGGAGCAGCAGCAGCAGCAGCAGGAGGAGGAGCAGCAGCAGGAAGAGGAGGGAGAGGGAGGGGCAGAGACGGGCTGCCGTGTGGGTTGAGGGGTCTGAACAACCTGGGCAACACGTGCTTCATGAACGCCATTCTGCAGGCCCTCGTGCACACCCCGCCCCTGCGCTCCCACTTCCTCTCCCGCTCCCACTCGCACTCGCACTCCCACTCACACGCCCAGTCCCAGGCGCAATCGCTGGGGCAACCTCAGCTGCAGGCCCGTACCCAGGGCCAAGAACTCTTGGGGCAATTCCAAAGCCAGTCTCAGTCTCATGCCCATGCCCAGTCCCAGTCCCAGGCCCCGTGGTAACACGACGCCTCCCCCCTCCTGCAACCACAACCCCGAGCACAGCCCTCAACACAGCCTCAAGCATGCCTTCCAGGAGAATCCTTGTGCTCCCCATGCAAGCATCCCTGCCCACTTGCGGTCGCTTCAGGGCGATTCACATGGCGCCACGAGCACCACCACCACCACCACCACCAGCAACAACACCAGCGGTGCTGCTGCTGCTGCTGCTGCTGCTGCTAATGCTGCTGCACCCTCGCTCTTTGCACTCCGCCCCTCCCTCAACCCCATACCGCCCCACACAATGCCCACAGCCCACATGGGTCATACTCATACGGCCCCCACAGGTGATGTGGTTCGTATGCCTGCCACTTCCCAGGGATTGTGCCATGTGGGCGAACAAGGGGCGGGAGGGGCGGAAAGGGGACTAGGAGGGGAGCAAGTGGGGGGGATAGAGATGGGGGGAGGGGCAGGGAAGGGAGAGGAGAGAGGGGGAGGTGCAGCGGGTGGGCTTGATGGTGGGAATTGTGGAGAGGAAGGGGGGGATGAGGAGGAGGCGAGGGGGAATGGGCAGCGGGATGGCCGTGACGAGGGGGCAGAGGAGGAGGGAGGGGGGATAGCGGTAGGGGTAGGAGAAAGAGGTGGAGGAGGAGATTCAAGAGGAGGTGAGGCGGCAGCAGCAGCAGCAGCGGCAGCAGCAGCAGCACCAGCAGCAGCAACAGCAGCAGCAGGGGTAGCAGCAGCAGCAGCAGCAGCAGCAGCAGGGCGGGGTCGAGTGCAAGTGGCACCGTATGTGAATCCGTGTTTGGAGTGCGAGTTAGAGGGCGTGTTTGCTGCCATGTTCAGTGGCGACAGGAGGCCCTTCAGCCCCGGCCAGTTCCTGTATAGGTGCGTGGGGATGTGTGTGTGTCATGTGCATGTGTGCGTGTGTGTGTGCGTGCATGCATGCATGTGAGTGCATGTGCGTGCATGCGAGTGCATGTGCGTGCATGTGCGTGCATGCGCGTGCATGTGCGTGCATGTGCTCCCCTGCAAGCATTTATGAATGCAGCCCATTTGAATGAAATCCTTAACCTTGCTCTTGTGGTCCCACTACTCCTTAACACCCTACATGCCGCTTGTGCCACTACTCCTTCCTGTATATCGCATACCCATCCATCCATCCTCACTTGGGCCTTGACAGTTGGCCCTCACAAGCTACCTTCAGCACAATGCACGTGAAGCCAGGATAGCCCTCCTGGTTTATGAGAATTCTTAAATGCCAAAGGATAGCCCTCCTACTGGGGAGTGGGAGTGCTATAAGCAAGATTTCTTCCCACTCCCCACCCCTCCCACGACTTCAAACTAGAAATCTATGCCCATTCATGTTGGTTCTACGTAATGTGGTGTATCTATCTTCGCTCGCGGTCATGTGATATGCAGCAGGACGCGCATGCGAGCAGAACATTAGTCCCCTTATCCCAACCTTCCACCCTCCCTCTCTCTCTCTCTCTCTCTCTCTCTCTCTCTCTCTCTCTCTCTCTCTCTCTCTCTCTCTCTCTCTCTCTCTCTCTCTCTCTCGCTGCAGTTGGACAGCTTCGCCATCTACCAGCAGCAGGACGCACATGAGACGAGAGCAAACAATAATCCCCTTGACTCAACCCCTCCTCCCACCCCATTCACTTCCCCATCGGCAGCTGGTGGCGAGTGACGGACAGCTTCGCCAGCTACCAGCAGCAGGACGCGCACGAGTTCTTCATCGCCACCCTCAACGCTCTCCACGCTGCCTCTGGCCTCGCCTCGCCCCGCCGCAAACCCGCCCCTCCTGCTGTTGCTGCGTCTTCTGGTGCTGCTGGTGGTGCTAATACTTCTGCTGCAGGGTAAGTGGCGTGAGTGTGAGAGTGACTGCGCAGAAAGTGCTGTTATGGAAAGCCTCTCTCTCTTTCCCCCCTCTCCTTCCCTCCTCGACTCCAGCGCGCTATTTGTCACTGAATTCCCGTGAGTAGCGCACAGTATCTTCACCAGTCTCTCCCTACACGCTGTGCTGCGCTCCCTTTTAACAACGAAGGAGATTGCTTCTCCCTTTCATATCTCGCTTGTGTGCTGTCAACAACCCTGCCTTCTCATCTCCCTTCCCCATTTCCCCCCTTCACCCCCGTTCCCCCCGCTCCCCATTCCCCCCCTCCCCCTCCCCTCCCGCCCAAGTGCAGTGCGCCAGCTGTCACCGAATGCCCCTGTATCGTGCACGAGGTGTTTTCCGGGCTGTTGCGATCAGATGTCACCTGCACGGCATGTGGTTGCACCTCCACCACATACGACCCGTGTGTGGATATCTCTCTGGATCTAAGCCCTCACCTGCTCGAAGCAGAGTTGCATGAGGAGCAGCAGCAGCGGCAGCAGCAGCAGCAGCAGCAGCGCCGGGAGCTGATGCTGCTGCGGCGGCAGCAGCGGCTGGAGCAGGGGGTGGGAGGGGGGGTGGGGGAGGGGAAGAAGAGGCGGAAGCGGCAGCATAAGCAGAGGTACCAGCGGAAGAGGAAGAGGGGACGGACTCGAAATGTTACGGGTGATAAAGATGCTGCGGTTGATGCTGCGGTTGATGCTGCTGCTGCTGGTGCTGCTGCTGCTGCTGCTGATGATGATGATGATGATGGTGATGATCCTGCTGCTGCTGCAGACGGAGTGTCAGAGGTACCCCCATCGCCATCACCACCGTCATCGTTACCACCAGCATCACCATCAGCACCGGTTCTGTCACCATCCCCACCGATCGCGCTTTCCTCTTCCACCCCAACACCAACGGTAACACCAACACCCACTCCCACCTCAACGCCAACTCTCACTCCGTCCCCAACAGAAGCCGGCACCCCTGTTGGGTTCTTTGATGGTGATGCTGATGCTGATGGTGCTGCTGGTAATGTCAGTGGTGGTGGTGGTGGTGCTGCTGCTGCTGCTGCTGCTGCTGCTGCTGCAGTGGGAGAGAGAGGGGTGGGAGGCAGTGGGAGTGCAGAGGGGAGCGGCAACGGTGGCAGCAGCAGCAGCAGCAACAGCAGCAGCAGGGAGGGGGGAGGACAAGCAGTTAAGGAAGGGGTACAGGCGGAGGAGGTTAGAATCACAGGGGTTGATGGAGAGGAAGGGGAGGAAGGAGACGAAGGAGAGGGAGGAGAGGGAGGAGAGGGAGGAGAGGGAGGAGAGGAAGGGGAGGGAGGAGAGGGAGGAGATGCAAGGGAGGTGTTGCTGGGAGATGTGGTGGGGGAAGGAGTGGCCTTGGGGGAGGAAGAGGAGAGGGAAGTGAGTGAAGCGGCAGTGGCTGAAGCAACTGCAGGGGCAGAAGGTGAGGCATACGTAGCAGCACAGACTGATGTGGGAGCAGCCATGCGAGGGCACGAAGGGGGTGGGACCAGTCATACGTTGCACTGCTGTGCTCTCCTGCATGCCCCTGCTGCACCTGAGGTTGCTGGATCCGAGGGCAGAACAGCAGAGGCTGTGGCAGCAGAGGGTACAGCAGCAGCGGGTGTGGCGAAAGTGGGAGATTTGGCAGGAACAGCAGAAGGCCGAGGAGCTGCTGCTGCAGCAGCAGCACCTGGGGCACGGAAAGCGCCAGCCACTGCTGCGCTACCACCTTTAGCACCTCCAGCAGCAGCAGCAGGAAGAGCAGCAGCAGGAGCAGCAGCAGCAGGAGCAGGAGCAGCAGCAGCAGGGGGGGGAGCAGCAAAGGAGGAGGGAGCAGTGGCGACGTTGATAGCATGCTTGGATCGGTTCACTCACCCGGAGACACTTGGAGTCAATGAGAAGTTCTTCTGTGAGGCGTGCCAGGTGAGGCAACGCAGGTGGGGCAGGTGGGGCAGGTGGGGCAGGTGCAGGATGTTCCTGCACACGAATCCATTCTTCACATAGCCCCAATCGTCTCTCCCCCTACTCACTCCCAGCTTTCTCTCCCTCCCCCTCTTTTCCCCATTCCCCACCAGATACGGCAGGGATCAGTGAAGCTGATGTCCCTAAGCCTGTGCAAGAATATTCGGTATTCGAGAATCATTCTATATTCGTTCGAATACCTGAATTCGAGAGAATAAGAAATGGCCGTTTATTCAAAAATATTTGCATCACGAGTATTCGTGGATGTAGAATATTCGGCTAACAGATATTCGGGGTATTCGTTACTATTCGGTATTCTACCATTAACACCCTCCCCCCACTTCCCCCTCCTTTCCCACATGCGGCTATCACTTTTGGCAATCTGTCTACAAGAGGCCTCATGAAAATTGCGCTCAAAAGCCTAGCAAGTTAGTTGCTGGAGGGGGATTAGGGAAGGTCATGGTGCGGGATTCAGTCGTGATGTTGATATTATCAAGTGCATTGTATCACCCTAAACCCTCGAACATGCATTATTCGTATTCGATTCGGATTCGGCAGTATTCGAATTGTATTCGTATTCGGTTTTTGGCCGGTATTCAGCCAAATAAGAAACCCGGTATTTGGAGAATATACAGGAAAAATATTCGTATTCGTATTCGTTTGCACAGGCTTAGATGTCCCTCGCCTTGTCTACCCCTCTCGCCTGCTCCTTGTCGTTCACCCATTTCTTAATCGCCTCCTGTTCTTTCCCCTCTCCTCCCTCCACTAACCAGATACGGCAGGAGTCAGTGAAGCAGATGTCCCTGGCCCGTCTGCCTCTCATGCTGTGCCTACACATCAAGTCGCTCTTTATTCTGCACAAATTCTCACCCCCCCTACTCACCCCCGGCCGCTCCCCTCGCCTCCTACCCCCTCCCCTTTTCCCCACCAGATACGGCAGGAGTCAGTGAAGCAGATGTCGCTGGCGCGCCTGCCTCTCGTGCTGTGCCTGCACATCAAGCGCTTTGAGCACTCGCTCTCGCGCAACGCCTCGCGCAAGATCACGCGCTTCCTGCACTTCCCCCTCGCGCTCGACATGTCCCCCTACCTCTCGTCCAGCATCACCCGCAACCGCAATTGCAACCGTGACCGTGACCGCACCGCCTCCCTGCACCCTACGCCCTCCCCTCTCCCCATTTCCCCTGCTGTTTCCTCTCCTCTGGTCCTCTCCCCCCCGGTAACTTCTCCGCTCGTCTCTCCTCTGCTCGCCTCTCCTCCTGTTGCTTCGCCTCCTTTCGCCTCTCCTCCTCCACCACCACTCCCACCAGCACCCCCTCCCGATGCTTCGTGCAAGCGGGTCAGTCCCTCTCAGTTCACTTCCGAACCTGCTCTTGAACCTGCTTCCAAACCTGCTTCCGAACCTGCTTCCAAACCTGTTTCTGAACATGTTTCTGTACCTGCTTTCGGAGGCTTGGAGAAGGGCGGTAGCAGCAGCAGCACAAGCAACAGCAGGGAGGAGGCGCCTGGTGAGGTGAACACTCATGCTGCTGCACACGCTGGTGCTGCTGCTGCTGAGGATGATGATGATAATGATGACGAGGGTGATGAAAGAGATGAAAAAGATGAAGGAGATGAAGGAGATAGAAGTCATGATTACCCAAAGAAGGCATTGCCAACTGATGGTGTTCCCGCACCTCGCGGAAACAGGAACAGAGCTTCATTTGTGGACAGTCGCTCGATTGGTGGTACTGGTGATGAGACTCATGATACTGACATGCCTGCAGCTCCCACGCTTGCCAGTGCTGCTGCTGCTGCTGCCGCTGCCACCGCCGCCGCCGCCGATGCTCCTGCTGTTGCAGCTGCCATTGCTGCTGCTGCTGCGGTTGCTGGTGCACACGGGGCGGCAAAGGGATCCGATGAAGGGGAGGAGGGAGGGCAGCAGGATAAGCATGGTGACGCACAGTACGATGCATTTGCTGTGATTGCGCACTCAGGAAGGAAGCTAGACAGTGGACACTACGTGGCATATTTGAGGCTTGGAGGCGGCTGGTTTCGGTGCGATGATTCGTGGGTCACTGCAGCTGATGAGAAGGATATACTTCATTCCGAGGCCTACATGCTTTTCTACTTGAAGAGAAGGGCTTCCTGATTGGATACGGCACTGTGGATGATGAGAGGTATCGTCAGTGCATTGTCGTGTTCTAGGTTGAAGTTGATGGGTTCCGTTTGGTTAGTTGTATTCGAGAGGGGATTGTTTGTTGTTTGATGATTCAAATATAATGTGCATTGTAATCGTGAAAAGATAGTGGAATATGGAGAGATGTGAAACTGCTTTCTTTGGACCTCGCTAAATCACAAAATTTTGAACCAACCATTGTACTGTTGACGTACACTAAATAATCACCAATCGTATTCATGCCTTGTCATAACGAAGTCCTCACTTGTTCTGTGTGGTGTGGTTCAGTAGCCGCGCTTCCGCTGGTGCTGCTGCTGTCTCTCCTGTTGCTGCTGCTGGTGTACCTGATGTCTCTCCTGCTGCTGCTGCTGCGGCTGCCTTAGTCGTAGTCGTAGATGTTGCGACAATCATATCGACGACAATGTTCAAGAATGCCGCGAAGAATGCGGCGAAGCATCGATTGCGTCGGCCTTTTCACACGGCACCGTCGCTCGCGCCCGCTCCATCGGCGCGTTTCTCGCTCGCGGTCCGCGTCGCGCTCCTCCTCGCGCTGCTGCTCTCGCTATACTTCGTCAACAGAGAGACTCTATTTATCGACCTGATTTTCCTTCCCCGAATGCGATTCGCTCCCGTGATCTCGCACCCGAACGCGACTCACGCGATCCTGACCCTCGCGCTCGGCTTATCCTCGATACGGCCCTTCTCGTTCGCGAACAAGCAGTCGTACTGTAACCGGCACGGGATCGAGTGCATCTTCGTTACATCTCCGGCCAGTAACCGTACGCCCGTGTGGCAGAAGGTGGAGCTACTAGAGCGATACCTGCCGCGGTACGAATGGATTTGGCTGCTCGATCTAGACGCCTTTATTATGAACAAGACCGTCAGCATCGGCGACATTGTCGCTAAAGCGCAGCGCTCCGCGGAACTGAGTGCGCGACGTGAGCGGAAACTTAGCGCGGAGACCGAGCGGAAGCTTCGAGCGTGGGAGGACCCCAGCAACGGGGGGAGTGCCGCGGGGGAAGTCGGCGCGCGCGGTGCCGGTTCCGCCAGAGCGGAAAGCGCAGCAACCAATAACACTCATCCCGCAAACACCGCGACCGCAACCGCAGCTTACGCCACCACTCCCCAAGTCGACTTTATTTATGCGCGCGATTACGAGGACATGGGGCTGAACGCCGGATCGCTCTTCTTCCGCCGCGCGCCGCGGTTTCTAGAAACCGATTTCTTCGCCCATTGGCTGTCCCTCTCGCGGTCGTTCCACAAACAGCAGCTGGAGGAGCAAGGTGCGCTCGCGGACATGCTGCAACGTGACTATAAAGGGGTGCGGAGCGCCTCGGTGCGCCTTGAGATGCAAGAGATTAACTTGTACTGTCCGGAGCATGGAATTGCGGGGTATGGCGGCCAGGGGATCTGATCGTGCATTTTCCGGGGCAGTGCAAGAAGCGCCTTGTTCCATTCGTGAGGCGTTATGCCAAGGAAATTCTAAGCTGATGATATATTGCTACCTCCTGGCCTCACCAGACCAGAGTCCAGTCTCCACACCATTATACCTTATTCCTCCTGTGTATAGTAGGGGAGGGCTTACAGTACGGTATCACCCAGCAGGCCCTGTCTAATCACCACCACTCTTCTGATGAGAACAGACATACCTTACCACCAGTAGTACCCCAGAAGCAGAAGGGTGGGTGGGGACACGGTGATTGGTCTTCCAGCATGGCTTTTATACCGTAACAAGTAAAAAGTGTACCGCACATCAACCAAGTCACAAGGCCCATTATCTCAAATCAACCATGACAACTCAGAAGAACGCTTTTCAAGCTATTACCCTAAATCTACATATGCACCTGAATTGTCCCTGCCTGCGCCAGTAGTGGCTCAAGCAAACCCTCCAACTGGCTGCATCCATCCACATACACCTCCCGCAAGCTCCTCGCTCTCTCCAACCCCTCCGGCAGCTCGCTCAATCTTTCACAGTAGTCCAAATCCAGCACCTGCAGCAACGGCAGGTGTGAGACGGCTGCGGGCAGCTTGAGCAGCAGCGGCAGGTGTTTGAGCGAGAGAGAGACGAGAGAGGAGAGATTGCCAAATCCATCCTCCGGTATGGAGGAGAATGTGTCAGAGAGTGAGACCATGAGGTGCTGCAGGGAGGTGAGGAGGGTGAGGGAGGCGGGGAACGTTGAGAGGTTCGGCGCGGTGTCTATGGTTAGAACGCGCAGCCCTTGCATCTGCCCGAGGTCCCTGGGCAGGTCGGAAAAGTCCATTTGGAGGAGATGGAGGCGTTGCAGGTGAGTAAGGGCTGTGATGGAAGGAGGGAGCGAGGAGAGCAAGGGGAGGGTGTGGAGGGTCAGGATTTTCAGTTTCTGTAGTGTGTGGATGTTGGGGAATGAGAGGGGGGATACAGCGGATAAGTCATAGAGATGAAGGCTTTCTAGAGAGGATGTGATTGGAACGGTTGTGAGGGATGGGATGTGTTCGATGCGCAAGCGCTGGAGAGAGGAGAGGTGGGAGGTGGCATCCTGCATGTTGCTGGTGCTCCATAGCGTGTTGGACAGGATTAGGGTTTGCAGGGTGGGTGGAAAGGGCGAGGGCGAGGGGGCAGGCGGGAGCGTGGTGATTTTGACACAGTCACGGATGTCTAGGTGGATCAGGGAAGGGAGGAGGTGGAGACCTGAAGGGAGGGAGGCGAGGGAGGGGTTTTTGAGAATGAGGAGGCGGCGGAGGGATGGGAGGGGGTGGGGAGAGGAGGGCTGGGTTGAAGGCTGAGAGGAGACTGTGTCACCGGAACATGGAGTAGGTTCAATGGAAGGAACTTGGGAAGTGGCAGCAGCAGCAGTGGCAGATGCAGAAGCAGAAGCAGCAGCTGCAGCAGCATCAGCAGCAGCAGTAGCAGACGCAACAGCAGAGGCATCAGCAGCAGCAGTAGCAGAAGCAGCAACCGAAGCGGCAACAGCAGCAGCAGCCACAGCAGCAGCGTCATTAGCACCACCAGATGCAGAAGCAGCAGCAGAAACAGCGGCAGAAGCAGAAACAGCAGCAGCAGCTGCTGCAGAAGCAGAAGCAGCAGCAGTAGCAGCAACAGCAGCAGCAGCAGCAACAGCAGCGGCAGCAGCAGCAGCAGCAGCCGCAGTAGCAGCAGCCGCCGAAGTAGCAGTAGCGGCAACAGGAGGAGGGAGGGTGAGTGGTGGCAGCGTCCGCAGCAGCTTGCAGCGCGAGAGCTCCAACTCCTGCAAGCCCACGATGTTGCCCCACCCTGCAGGCATGCGTCTCAGCGAGTGACAGTTGGAGATGCACAGCCGCTGCAGGCGAGTCAGCTGGGTGAACGATGCTGGCAGCTGCTGAAGATCGTGGCACCCGTGAATTTCAAGGGTAGTTAAGGAACTCGCGAGCTGCCCGAACGTGCTCGGCAGGTCAGTGAACGCTGTTTTCCCCGATTCGTCGTCGTCGTTGTCATTGTTGTTGTTGTTGTCATCGTCGCTGTCTGATGAACGTACCATGTCATAAATGTAGGTTTGAAAGCCTAGCTCCCGATCTTCCCGCTTAGTCACCAAGCCCTTCCATCCGAGAGTAAGGCTTTCAAGGCAGGGCAGCTGCGAAAAAGATTCGGGAAGGGTCTCCAGAAATCTGCATCCGGCTATTTCCACTGTGCGGAGCGCTGTCAGCTGCCCGATAGTTTCGGGCAGGTTTTCCAAATCGCAGAAGCTGTGGACAGTGAGCCGCTTCAGATTCAGAAGCTGCCCAAACGACTCGGGCAGATCGCCTGCAACTTTGCTTAGTTGAAGCTCGGTCAGCGCGGACAGCTGCCCCAAATCTTCGGGCAGGGATCCCAAAGAACACCCGAGGAGCTGCAGCTGAGAGAGTGATTGCATCCCCGCGAAAGTCGCTGGCAGCAACGCTAGATCCTGACAATTCGCCGCATGAAGGTGCGTTAGGGAGGAGAGGAGAGCGAGAGAGTCCGAAATTGCCGCAAGGGAGGGGAGCTCGTCGAGAACAAGAGAGGCGAGGCGGGGAGCGTCACCAATATCCTCCGGTAACGAGGCGAGGGCAGTGCACTGCTGAACGGTGAGCGCAGTGAGGGAGGGGAGGGCGGAGAGCGAGGGCGGGAGGGCGGATAAGCGAGCGCAAGACTTGACGGTCAGTTCTTGTAGCGAGGGGAGCTGTCCGATGCCGTCAGGAAGCGACTCCAGGTGCGCGAGGCTGGTGAGGAGGAGGCGTTTGAGCGAGGAGAGGTGGGCGGAGGAGAAGTTTGGTAGAGAGTCGACATTGATGTCGCGCAGGTGGAGGGTTTCGAGGGACGATAGGAGGCCGATGGAGTGGGGCAGGGATTCCAGGCCAGGTAACTTCGCCAGCTGCAGGTGTTGCAGTTTTTTTAGATGCCCGAGGCCATCGGGCAGCTGCCGGAGGGCAACGCAGCCGTCGATTTTCAGCGAGGTGAGGGAGCGGAGGCGGGAGAGGGTGTGCGGGAGGGCGCGCAGGTAAGAATCGCGTACGCGAAGCGACCGTAACGCGGAGAGCGAGCCAACGCTCTCGGGGAATCGCGGCTCGGGCTCTGGATCAGGCCTGTTATCGCGGTCGTCTCGGTCGCACGAAACGTCTAGCCTCGTCAGTTGTCGCAGGAGGCTCACGGAAGCGGGCAGCTCGGGCAGGCACATGGGCAGCATAAGCTTCAAGCTGACCAGGCGGCGGCAGGCGGCGAAAAGCGCGGTAAAGGCGGGCTCTGTTACTTTCGTAACGGCAATGTCGGGATCTTCGGGGGCGCGATTCGGGTCCCAGAAGCGCAGGTTCCTGTGGCGATACAGCGACAGGTGCGTGAGGGAGCGCGCGCATCCCGTGGCGATGGAGTGAAGGAAATCGTCTGTTATGGCGTCTAGCGCCGATCGGCCGATGTGCAGGTGGCGCAGGGTGAGCGGGGAGTGCAGGGGAAAGGAGGGGGAAACGGCGGAGGCGAAGGCGGGAGTGGGAGGGGACAGGGAGGGAGGAGATGAGGAGGAGAGGACGGAGCGGAAGGTTTGGGTGGAAAGGCGGCGGTCGGCTTGCAGGAGGATGGCGGGGAGGCTGAAGCGCGCCAAGCGGAGCCAACGCTTGCACACGAGCGCGTGGTGGAACACGGTGAACGGCGGAGGCGGAAGCGGAGGCGGAAGGGGCGCGGAGTCCGCGGAGGTCCCGGAGAGGGGGGGCGGATAGGCGGAGGCGAGGATGTGCTCCTTTGAAGGCGTGTCGGGATCCTCCGGATCCATGATAGGGAGCGTCATGGTTCGAGCGTAGTTGGCGGCGGTCGCGTGTGCCTCGGAAAATATGGCGCTGGTGAGCTCGATGACGCGCAGGCAACTCTCGCAATCTGTTTTCACTGCCCGCGCGATCCGCTCGTGCAGCAGCTCCTCGTCCTCGTCGCTCGCGTCCCCACGCGCATACTCGTCCTCGCTGCTGGCCGACCCGTTAACAGCATTCCCCTCCGCCGCGTTTCCGGCCATCCCATCATTGCGCTCCGCAGAAGCACCGTCGCCCCCGGCTCCGCCAACATAAGCCTCCGCCGCGGCGGTGGCTGTGGTGGTGGTGCCCGAAGCAGCAGCGGCGGCTGTGAGGCGCGGCTTGGGGTGGAAGCGGAAACCGTTAGAGGCCACAAGCGCAAGAATGTGCGCGAGGAGATCATCTGAGAGACGTGCGAAAGGATCGGGATCAAGGTGACGTGGCCGAGGAGAAGAGCCATCGTTAAACGGATCCATTTGAACCCACGCGTTTGACGAGATGCGCGGCAGAAGGGCGCTCAGTGCGGGCCGATGGAGCTGCACATGCGATGCCCGTGAAAGCCGGCGAGGTTTGAATCGTGCGAGACTTACTAGTGCTGCGTTGTGAGGTGGAGGTTCAGGGTGTCGCGAGAGGAGTGAAACAGGAAGAAGAGTTGAGAGATGGGGGGTTCGAGAGTCTGAAATTTCTCACATGGAAGATTCATTTTCTTGCAGATAATTGCGATTCTGTGCGTGTTTGAGCGGTTCGTCTACACTTCGATACGTTTGGGTAGGGTCTCGAGCAAAAACGAACCTCCTCTGACACACTGGGGGATGGTGTATCGCCGCGCACCGCATCGAACCGAAACAAACACACTCAACCGAGCTCTATCTGAACCGCCAACCGCGTCCACCCAACCCAACCTGACCAACAGATGATCGCCTTGCCACACATCACAGCACCCAATCCTACCGCACGTTGCCCCTGGGTCCCTGAGAATGGCATGAGACGGCAGGATTGATAAACACTGTACAGTTCTGCAGTCAAGCGGCCGAGATTTAACATGCATGTAACATATGCCATACCAGCAAACAATTCAGCTACCAGAAAGCTAGAGGTGGTTGACACCATGAGGTGATACAATCGTAGCTCGTATATCTGGTGTACATCAATCAAGCCGCCCATATCCCCAACCGCAACGATCAAGCTCCACCTAAACAAGTCATCTATATGGCATGGAGCTGTATCCTTCCAGCCCGCGCCATGATCGGCTCGGGCAGATCCTCCAATTCGTTGCATCCATCCACATGAAGCTCCCGCAAACTCCTCGCACTCTCCAACCCCTCGGGCAGCTCGCTCAGATTTTCACACTCCTGCACGTCCAGCACTTGCAGCAACGGCAGCTGCGCCACGGCAGCAGGCAGCCGGAGCAGCAGAGGCAGGTCGTTGAGCGTGAGAGATATGAGAGCAGAGAGGTTGCTGAAGCCTTCGTCTGGGAGAGAGGAGACCTGCTCGCATTCCGAGACTCTCAGGTGCTGCAGGGAGGTGAGGAATGTGAGGGAGGCGGGGAGTGATTGTAGATTTTTCGCGGCGTTGATCGTTAGAATGCGCAGCCCTTGCATCTGCCCGAGGTCCTCGGGCAGGTTGAAAAAGTGCATGTGGCTCAGATGGAGGCGTTGGAGGTGAGTGAGGGCTGTGATTGAAGGAGGGAGAGGGGAGAGCTGGGGGAGGGTGTGCATGGTCAGGATTTTCAGTTTCTGCAGTGTGTGGATGTTGAGTAATGAAATGGGGGAGACAAGGGACAAGTCATAGAGAGAAAGGCTTTCCAGGGAGGGTAGAATGGGAACGGTTTTGAGAGATGGGCTGTGTTCGATGCACAAGTGCTGGAGAGAGGAGAGGTGGGAGACGGCATGCTGCATGTTGCCGGTGCTATGTAGCGTGTTGGACAGGATTAGGGTTTGCAAGGTGGGTGGGAAGGGAGAGGGCGAGTCACGCGGGGGGAGTCTGGTGAATTTGACACAGTCACGGATGTTGAGGTGGAGAAGGGAGGGGAGGAGGTGGAGACCTGAAGGAAGGGAGGAGAGTGAGGGGCACTTGAGGATGAGGAGGCGGCGGAGGGATGGGAGGGGGTGGGGAGAGGAGGGCTGGGTTGAAGGCTGAAGGGATGGATGGGGGGCATGAGCAGTAAGAAGAACGTGGGAAGAAGCAGAAGCAGTAGAAGCAGCAGCAGTAGAAGTCGCAGCAGAAGCAGAAACAGCAGGAGGTGCAGTTTCAGTAGCGGCAGCAGGAGGAGGGGGGGTAAGTGGTGGCAGCGTCCGCAGCAGCTTACAGCGAGAGAGCTCCAACTCCTGCAATCCCACAAGGTTGCCCCACCCTGCAGGCATTCCCCTCAGCTTGTGGCAGTTGGAACAGCCGCTGCAGTCGAGTCAACTGGGTGAACGATGCTGGCAGCTGCTGAATCTCATGGCACCCATGAATTTCTAGGGCAGTTAAAGATTTTGCCAGCTGCCCGAACGTGCTCGGGAGGGCAGTGAAAGCGGTTCTTCGCGTATCTCCGTCGTCGTTGTGGCTGTCGGGAGGAACCGGGTCAAACATGCAGGTTGCTAGACCCAGCTCCTGATCTTCCCTTTTAGTCACTAAACCCTTCCATCCGAGAATTAGGCTTTCAAGGCCAGGCAGTTGCGAAAGCGATTCAGGGAGGGTTTCCAGCCGTGCGCAGCCAGCTATTTCCACTGTGCGGAGCGCCGTGAGCTGCCCGATAGTTTCGGGCAGGGCTTCCAAATTGTAGCAACCGTGGATGGTAAGGTTTTCAAGCTGAGTGAGAGTGGCCGGCAGAGGGCGCCGAAACGGAGAACGAGATACAGCGAGCCTCCGCAGCTTCAGCAGTTGCCCGAACGATTCGGGCAAATCGCAGGCCACTTTGTTCAGATGGAGGTCAGTCAGCGCGGACAGCTGCCCGATATCTTTGGGCAGCGATCTCAAAGGACACTTGAGGAGCTGCAGGCGAGAGAGGGAGTGCATCCCCGCGAAAGACGCTGGCAGCCGCGTTAGAACCCCACACTCCGCAGCGTGAAGGTGCGTTAGGGAGGAGAGGAGAGCGAGAGAGTCCGGAATAGCCGCAAGGGAGGGGAGATAGTCGAGCACGAGGGATGCGAGGCGGGGAGCGTCACCGATATCTTCTGGTAACGAGGCGAGGGCGGAGCAGTTATATACGGTGAGCGCAGTGAGGGAGGAGAGGGCGGAGAGTGACGGCGGGAGAGCGGCTAATAGAGAGCAAGACTCGATGCTCAGTTGTTGCAGCGAGGGCAGCTCTCCGATGCCGTCAGGAAGCGTTTGGAGGCGCGAGAGGTTTGAGATAAAGAGGCGTTTGAGCGAGGAGAGGTGGGCGAAGGAGTCTGGGAGGGAGGCGGCATTGAGAGCGAAAAGGTGGAGGGTTTCGATGGAAGATAAGAGGCCGATGGAGTCGGGCAGGGAATCCATGAGAGATGAGCCCGCCAGCTCCAGGTATTGCAGCTTTTTTAGCTGCCCGAGACCTTCGGGCAGCTGCCGGAGGGAACTGCAGCCGACGATTTTCAGCGAGGTGAGGGAGCGGAGGCGGGAGAGGGTGTGCGGGAGGGCGCGTATGCAAGGAGCGCGGATGCTGAGAGACCGCAACGCGGAGAGCGAGCCAACGCCCTCGGGGAACCGCGGCTGTGGCTCTGACGACATGGTGCCATCACCATCAGCGACCGCCCTGGTATCCGAATCGAGGCGGCCGCACGTAACTTCCAGCCTCGTCAGCCGCTGCAGGAGGCTCACGGACGCGGGCAGCTCGGGCAGGCACAGGGGCAGCATAAGTTTCAGGCTGACCAGGTTGCGGCAGGCGGCGAAGAGGGCGGTAACGGCGGGTTCTGTTACTTTTGCAACCGCGTCGTCGGGGTCGATGTAGCCGCGGTTCTGCTCCCAGGAGCGCAGGTTCTTGTGGGGATACAGCGACATGTGCGTGAGGGAGCGCGCGCATCCCGTGGCGATGGAGTGAAGGAGATCGTCTGTTATGGCGTCTAGCGCCGATGGGCCGATGTGCAGGTGCTGCAGGGTCAGCGGGGAGTGGAGGGGAAAGGAGGGGGAAACGGCGGAGGCGGAGGCGGGAGTGGGAGGGGAGAGGGAGAGGGAGAGTGGTAGGGGAGGGGAGGAGGGGGGAGGAGGTGGGGAGGAGAGGACGGAGCGGAAGGTTTGGGTGGAAAGGCGGCGGTCGGCTTGGAGGAGGATGGCGGGGAGGCTGAAGCGCGCCAAGCGAAGCCAGCGCTTGCACACGAGCGCGTGGTGGAACACGGTGAACGGCGTAGGCGGAAGCGGAGGGGGCGCGGAGGTCGCGGGGGTCCCGGAAGGGGAGGGCGGAAAGGCGGAGGCGAGGATGTGCGCAGCTGACGGTGAGTTCGGTTTGTAGGGGTCGATAGGGACGGTCATGGTTCGATCGTAGTTCGCGGCGGTTGCTGCGGCCTCGAGAGCTATGGCTTCGGTGAGCTGGACAACGCGTACGAAACGCGCGCACGGATTTTTCACTGCCCGCTCGATACTCTCGAACATTTCGTCCTCGCTCTTTTCGCCACGAGCATCGCCTTCCTCGCTGTTGACGGCACCGTCATTCCCGTTCCCACCGGCATTAGCCTCCGCAGCGGCAGAAACGGTGACAGCGGCGGCGGCGGCGGCGGTAGTGGCGGCGTCAGAAGTAGCAGCGGCGGTTGTGAGGCGCGGCTTGGGGAGGAAGCGGAATCCGTTGGAGGCGACGAGAGCGAGAATGTGAGCGACGAGATCGTCTGAGAGACGCGCGAAAGGATCGGGTTCGTGGCGGCGTGGCGGAGGTGGTGACGAACAGGTGTTGAACGAATCCATTTCAGACGCAACGATCGACGAAGTTGCGCGGCAGTCAGGCGCTCAATGCGGGTCGAAGGAGCCGCACAGTGGGAATATTGTGAAAGCCGTAGGAGGAAAGGACTAGGGTGTGGTGCTGTGAGTGGAGAAGACGCACAATATCGTAATTAGCACTAGAGTGCCCACCATTTCATGAGAGATGCAGGGTAGAGGTCGAAATTAGGGCGGGGGCAGCGCGTTCATTTTCGCCACTTTTACAAAATTTTGACACCCGTCGAATCTGGAGGTTACTGTAGCTTTTTTGTACCGCGCTTAGTTTGTGTCCCAGGTGGGACACGCGCGTCCAGAATTAGGCACAGGTCCCGCCACACTTTTGCCCAACCGCCCACCCAATGAGGTAACCCTGTACGACCGAATTGAAGGTACGAATCTGCATTTGTGAACCCTTGGATTTGCGAGGGTCGTACGCGCTTGACGAAGTCGTGGTGCGGTTTCGCTAACCTGCACAAAGTCTTTCTCAAATGTTGCACGGGTTGTTCGCGGACGTTGTGGGTACGTGTTTTGTTCGGTTGACGGCACGGAAAACAGCCACCGTTCATCCACTGTATACTCCGTCGTGTCCACACGTTACCCTAAATCAGGGTTACAAACCGCTGAATCTGGTAACTGTTTCGGGCTAAGCCAGGAAAATGAACGCGCTGCCCCCGCCCTTAGGCCGCATTTCGGGCCTCGTAGCGAGCGACTTCCGAACAAGTTGCGTTCGTGGTCTTCTAGAGATTTCTTGGCAGTGTAGCACACAGGGTGACCATGCATCACCGTGCAGATATCCATTTAACCGAACGAGAACACACTCAACACTAGACTCCAATACAACCGCCCATTACACCACGGCTAACCAGAAAAGACTCGAAGCGGGATGGTGATCGCACTACATCGAGAGTTTTGCTCAAATCCTTGGAAGCGCGATTTGCTTTATTATCGCCACGTGGCAGCACTACGATCGCGCGAAGCCCGATCTGTTTTATTTTCCCCACACTTGCAATGTGAAATTTCGTTAAGTTCATTGTGTTCCATGTACTGGGCTGAGGTCGAAACTTTTTGTAGGGGAACCAATGCTACAGTTTCAACGGTTTTTGTCTCGTGCAACTTACAAGATGTGATTCGTAACGACTGTTCGGATTCGCCAGATCTCATGTACAGTAGACGCGCGTCACGCGCAGTACCGTTTCCCCCCATCCGTTGTTTCCGATTTTGGCGCGGTTTCTGTGGTCATGAAACCTCATGACCGTTCGTGAACCGTCAGTAATCCCCCAACTGCACATTGCCTCTCTCTCGCACAACCACCACATTCGCGAGTTAACAGTATAGCGTGCGATGTGTCGTAGTCTTGGTTTAGTCGATTTCACACAGCGGAGTTAGGAGGCATTGCCGTATCGCCGGTCATGGACGGCGGGCGCCATTATGAGAGCCTTATTGAGAAGATGGTAGGAGCACCGGCATTTGAGCCAGAGCTTCCCGAGTGTGACGACGCTTTTTTAGCGGAGAACAACGTTTACTCTTCTAGGGACAAATGCCTTGATGCGGTAGAGGAGTATGCACTGTTTCATGGTTTCGGAATATACAGCGAGACGGTGCGGAAGAACTACGCTCTCATTATATGCAAAGCAACCGCAATCGGTTGGACGCCGGCTTGCGAGTGGCACTGCGTGTACGGAAAGGACAAAGAGAGTGGCCTTTGGGTTATCACAACCCTGGATGATCACCGCGTACATACATGTCCGCCGCACCTGAAGGCTCGTGGGGCGAGGAGCTTGGGAAACCGGGTAGCTGTTCTCTACCGACTTTACGGGAATCTCGTGCGGGCGGACCCGTTTCTGCCCCCCAAGACAATCTGCGCCCAGATTTCCGCTCTCAAAGGCCCCATCGTGAACTACCATCAAGCGTACAGGTTAGTCAATCCCAAGTCTACCCTTCTCACACACGTATTTGCAAGATGCGTCTGCCATGCTTTCGTATCTTGGCCATATTGTAGTGGATGTTTACTTCCGTTTCGCTACCATCCATGACTTGCATGGCAGGCTACGAGAGCTGATAAAGACGGAGGTGTACGGGGATTGGCACGACTCGTTCCGCCTATTCCCGACGCTCGCGGCCCGGTTCAAGGAGATTGACCCACAGTCCTCGTTGAAGATCCTGACGCTAAACGGCCACTTCCATCGCATCTTCGTCTCCCCTTCGGCGTCTAGGGTGGCATTGCAGCACTGCAGACCCGTCGTCACGCTGGATGGCACATTCCTCCTAAGTGCACAACGCGCCTCCCTGCTCATTGCCGTAGTCCTGGACGGGAACCAGGAGATCATTCTGCTAGCGTGGTCGCTCGTTGAGTCCGAAAACAAGGACTCATGGACCTGGTTCTTGGACCTCTTTACCAAAACGTTTCCCGAATGGATACAGCGGGAAAACGCAGCGATCATCAGCGACCGGGACAAGGGTTTGGTCCCTGCAGCTAAGGAGTTCCTCCCCGACAGCATTCCCCATTACTTTTGCGGATGGCACTTGGACCAGAACATCCGCTGGTGGGGAACTGACGCGAAGATCTTCTTCTGGCGCCTGTTGAAGGCTCGTCTGTTGCCAAAGTGGAAGGCTCTCATGCGGGAGGCACGCGTGGACTTCTCCGAAATGGCGGAGTACCTGTTCGAAAAGGAGGAGAAACCACGTGCACCGCCCGTGGGGGTGGGTACATCTGCGCCGCCCCCCGCCAGCAACCCCGAGGAGACAACCCAGGAGGCACGTGCCAGGATTCGCCTGCGGGCCCGTATCAGCCGTCGTGCACGGGCCCAGCGTCTTCGTCAGCGCAAAGCAGCACAGCGGCGGGCTGCAAGGACCGCGACGGGTGGGGCGGCTTCGGTTACTGAGGAGGAGGATGTGGCGGCTGGGACTGACGCTGCAGCTGGTGGCGCGGAGGGTGATGTGGATGTACAGGATGGAGCGGCTGGGGATGATGCTGCATAGTATGGGGCGGCTGGTAATAACGTCTCACAGGATGGGCCTGCTTGGGGTGACGCTCCAGTGGATGGGGCGGCGGGTGATGACGCTGCAGGGGATGGGGCGGCTGGTAATGGGGCAGCAGGAGCGCCCACTGAGGCTGCACCCGACTGCAGTGCTCCACGACCAACTCTGTCCCCCCTCATTGTCGTGCCGCCCGCCGTTCGACATTGACGACATCTTACTCTCGGCCCGCTTCAATTATTTCCCTGGTCATGGACGTCGGCACGCTGCGGATGGAGTTGGAACTACCCCAGCTTTGCTCCCTCCTCCGACAGATCCCGCAGCAGCTGGTGCTGCGACAGGAACAGGGGCGACCGGCGCCGAGATACCGGGGGGTGCCGCCGCTTGAACGGGTGCCCGGGGCGCAGATTTACCAGAGGACGAACCAGATCTCACACAGCCATGGCCTGATCTTGGGGGGGGTTTCCAGGCAGGGACCGACGAGGACGTCGTTGGGGCGGGTCTGGATTTTTTCACAAGCGACGAGAACGGATACTCTAATCCGTCCACATCTCGTCCACCGAGGGCGGAAGAGGATGACGGCCCTGCAAGGGCGCAAACTGGGTTTCATCAGAACAAGGCGGGCTCGAAGTACCGCATTGGGATCCACCCCAAGCATTGGGCACGTGTGTACGCCCGTACCGCACGGTACGGCATATACACAAGCAACGCTGCCGAGTCCGTCAACTCTGCCATCCGGCCCATTCGGCAGCTTCCCCCCGTGTACCTCGTCGCCGCACTCTGGGACTGGTACCGGAAGAAGATGTACGAGCGTGGAGCTCGTGCGAGAGCGAGGGGAGAGTATCTGACGGATAAGGCTATGAAGCGGCTCGCGGACAAACGGGAACGCAGCAAGAATTACAAGGTGACCATCGGCGGCCCTGGTTATGGCACGGTGAGGACGTTGGGCAGCCGCGACTTTGCAGAGTGGAGGTCATTCAACGTGGACCTCCGCCCTGGCAAAAAAACATGCGAGTGTGGCAACTGGAAGGAGTACGCTTTTCCGTGCTCGCATGTCGTGGCGTTTTGTCGCGAGATGCAAACAACGGACATGGATCATGTCTCCGACTTCTACACCACCGCCACGCTCTGTCAGACGTATTCCGGGGTTGTCCATGGCTCTTGCGTGGATCTTTTGATTGCAGAGATGATGGTGCCACTGCGGGGTGTATGCGAGCCCCCCCAGTTCAAGCGTTGTGATCGGGGCCGCCCAAGGACGGTCAGGCGCATGGAGGGTCAGGCGCCGAAGCAGAAGTACGGTGCAGCAACTGCAGGGCGGACGACCACAACAAGTCGCGCTGTCTGGGGATGTATGGAGCTGAGGCAAGGAGGCGTGGTCCACGGACCTGAATCTTGGCACCACAAACTGGTATGTTTAAGGGATGTGCGTGGTGGGTGGAACGATGAGTTCACAATTGATAATACATAGGACATTACAGGTCTTGAAAAATGCAGGGATGCGATGAAAGTATGCGATGGTTCCGATGTTCATTTGACTACTGTGCCCTCAATGCGTGACAATCCCAGTTCCAGTCCGCCTATCTTCCATGTCTGCCCCCACAGCTACCCCCTCTTACTGTCCTGGTCGCCATGCTAGCATGCAGGAGCACACGACACGGGTGAGGAGCCCGGAAGAGAGGAAAGTGAAGATGAGGGAGGAGCTTGGACGCCCCAACGACGGTGGGATGCAACATGAACACTCGGGGTTAATCGCTATAGAAGAGGGGTGCAGAGGAAGGACGATCGAGGGGAGTGGGATTGGATGGACCGCTAAGTTGAGGGGGGACATGGGTTTAGAGGTGAGGTTAGTGAGCATTAAACTCAGAAGTGATTGGTGGTTACTTGGATATTAACTTGACTGTAGCTTTCGTGATGACTCGTATTTGCATGAGAATGAGAGTTCGTTAGTAAGTAAATCAGGGAGAATAACGAAATTTCATTAACTGCGAGGTACCGGTGTCCCCCGTCGTTTCATGATCGGCGTTAATAACATTTCATGAGATTTCATGTATCATAATGACGCGCCGTGACATTTCGGTACTTCCCTCGTTACTCTCATAGCGTTTCGGAACAAAAGACGCGAATTCGGGGATTTCCAGAACATTTCGTGAGGACTAGTAATCGAATTCTACTGAAAATGTACGAGAACTCATTATATCCGACAACTCTCATTCACTACGCCGCGTTAGATTTCATGAAACGCAAAGGCACAGGATGTGTTCATTCTAGTTTTTGCGTAGACTCATGAGATTTTGGTAAAGATTGGATCGAGATGTCTGGGAGCACAACGAAATATCATTAAATGGGAGTTACCGCTGTCCCCCGTCATTTCAGTCTTGGTTCTACGATTACATGAATCCATGAAATCCCACTAAGGTTGTCGGGGGCTACACTCATCACGTCACGAGGATGCATGAGTTTTCAAGCAGTGAACAATGACATTAATTAAATGAGACCTTGGTAACAGCCACGAGGACTCATTATTTCTCAGTTCGGCTAGAAACATCGACCAACATGGAACATAATGTAACTACTTACATCACAAATTTACTAACTGAGCAACTAACGATGTTTTACGAGCAATCCGACCAAGATCAAATACATAAAACCCCTCTCTAGCCTGCTGCCCTTTTTGAGTTATGAGTAGAGGCTGCGAGCCCATGGCCTAAATCGTCGAGGGATGCAGGTTTAGGGATAACATGGCTGTGTCTCCCTAGACTAGTTCCCTGATGGCTCCAATCTCGCGAGAGATCTGACCGATGCTCGCATCATTCGCCGCCATTTGTTTCTCCATGTGGTCGACTAACTCTACAAGTTTCCCGCTCACAAGACCGTTCTCACGCACTTGGCTTGTCATAATGCCGATGTTCGTGGCCATGTCTTTTAGACGCCTGTCGACCGCGTATGGGATCTCACCCTCGCTCTCATCGTCAACCGTTCGAGCGCACCTCAGATTTTCAAACGGGACAGACATGCCGGCGTCGACCATGGACCGTATTAGCCATCTCTTTGAGTGTCGCAGCATGTCGTCTCGTATCTCGCGCCTGTAGAGAAATGGTGACTTCCCCAGGGCAAAACCCCTGTCCAGTGGGGCGAAGTCTGTTATCACCAGTGTGTGCAAAAACATGCACACATAAATTCCGCAGTCGTACCCATCAGTCTGTCTTGGTATCTTGTGGGTCTGCCATGTGGCAAGAACATGTGACTTAGTTGCCGTCATTGAACATGTTTCTCAAAGCGACTTATGCATGTGCGGGCATAATAAACACGGGCTTGAGCTACTAACCGGTGCTTCTCGGCACGCGAGCCGGGCAGTTCGGGCTGCTACCACGTCAGCGGTAAAGTCTTTGTGACGATGCCACAAGGCCAGACCTAGGATACTGGGGGGGGTGAGAGAAAGGTGCAGCTGTTTACACAAAAAAACTGTGCATCCCCTCCAAAATTTGCTCAAAATCTGTGTACTGCAAACAAAGATGAAACCTACACCTTCACGTTGTTGAACACGCGTTCTGAAATGCCCAAATGAATGGTCGTAGAGTCCACAAGCACAGCAATCAGTCGCGAGGCTGTTGCGAAATCCACGTCAGATAGGACGATGCGCCCAGGGTCCTTCACGACAACTAAGCTCCAGTGACCAACGTTGTTTTCCCTGCGATGGGTTTAATTTGTTGCACACAAAGGTTAGAATGGGACCTTGTAAGAACCGCCTTCAACGCACAACTATTGGTTGTCCAATGAGGAAACCCGAATACTACAATCTCTTACTCGGTGTGGATGATGACGCACAGATAATCTACTTCGAGAATATCTTCTGCATTCTCTCCGCCATATAGTCCGCCGTGCTTCTCTGCGTATGTGTATGCCGCTGATCCCAGCACCCTCCAGGTACGCCCATCGGGCAGTCTGGGCTGGCGCAGATTGAGAACGCTGCAACATTGGCGTCATACACGAATCACCGTAAGCGCATGTGATGATAGCATTGTCAAGCAGCGACGGTGTGATGTGAAGACCCTTGTGTATAGATCTTACATATTATGGAAGTCGATGTTGTTACATGTCAACTGTTCACCGTCTTGTATGGAGAGCGCATCAAAAGGACCAAGCGTCGTCCACTGACCACAGTGGTCGTATATGTTAGCAGTTGGAAATCCTCTGATGCATGGTGGCAGGTCCGGCGAATCGATGGCTGGAATGCCAATCTTAACGCCGTTAGGGGTTATCGCGTCGCACGGTATGGTAGGTCGATCCGTCACTAAGACTTCAGTAGATACTCGGAACGGCGCGTGCGCTTCCAATCCATATCCTTTCGTACGGCGACCCTTTATTTCCTTAAACGTTCTATTCTTGCTCATCGTGCGGAGGCCGTCTACCATCACAATGAATCTCGCCCGGGGTTATTTTTCCAGGAAACAATCAACTAGACGGTACAATTCCAGGAAAGGCGGATGGGTAGCACGGGTTGATAACACGAGTCCAAACCCGATGCAATGGTGGTGAGTATTAATCTACTGCATATAGTGGTTGCTCATCCCGATCGAAGATGTTTGATGGCAAAGTCGCACCTACACTAGTGGTGTCACATGAGATCCCATCGGGTGACGTGAGTGACGTGGCCATGTAGTCGAAACGGTGCGGGAATGCATCTACATCCGATACGGGACGTTCGTGTTTGTTTTCGAGTGAGATTTGGGTGTACGCTAGTAGGGATGCAGCAGTCACTATACGAGAAGGGCATTGGGGACTACAATAATAACTTTCATTTACAGAACACGAAAGACCTGATTGCCGCTACCGTACATTTTGGAAATAGGTTGACGAACCAGACCGCGTATAAGACAATTAAAACAGAAATATCGGTATCAAGCCAATACTGGCACGTCCCAAATCAGTGTGTTTCTCTAATAGTACCCTTATCATCATGAACGTGCCGGTGTTGTGCTTGATATCGGAGGGCCAATTCGAGGGTCTAAGATAGTCAAAGTCAATAGCCAATTCAGACTTAACTCGAAGCGTCCTACGGTGGGAACACATCTGGAGCGTCGGATCCGACGTGCCTTCTGATCGGGCTATGGTTTCGGCGGGTACAGTTTCGAAACTGTACGCGCCGCACGGTTAGGAATGAACTTGAATAAGGGAATGTACCCCTTAGAGTACATGGCTAGTTAGGTCGTTTCGTATTCCCTGTACTCATATTAATGTTTGCTGTAGATGCGTGTTTTATTCAAATCAAACCATTTTACAATCACACAGCTACTGAGATCAAGGGCCCGCTAAACACTACTTTTCAGCGTGCGAACCTTCCGCAGTAGATCCTGGCAGCGATCATCCTCTGATCGCAGCACTATCCACCAGTCTTATGAGAAGGCATTCCGGTATTCTGCTAGAGCCGATTTCGACCGAGTACAAAGTCGATGAGTCGGAAGAGTCAAAGTGACGCAGCAACTAGGATTCAAACTTCCAATGCAACACTGCTTTGCGATCAACCCTGAGCGGTCCTTTGCTAAGTCCCACTTGGGAGTGTAACAAAAGTACACAAATGCGCGTGTAATAATATGATGCGTGTCTCATGTACTCTCGATTGTTTTTTACGTGACACCATTACGATTGATGCTCTTATCGTGGTCAACGATTACTGGACAACATGAGATGTATATGTGATCCACTTAGCTGTCACTTCATCTCTTGAAACCTGTGGCAATAATAAAACAAATCGCGGTTTACACCAACAATGGCACGCTAAGTGGCGATAATTAAATGAACCCCGATTTCACGTGATTGAACAACAATACCCGAATTTTTCCCGGAAGCTGTGTGCTTGTACAAATAGGGCTTTTTATGTTACGGTGGTCGTCGCTATCCTATGCTGAGGATTCAGTTGTTTGGTAAAAATGATGATCGTTAGGTCCGTTGACTACGTCAATATAGTTGGTTGAGCGGTTGTGCACCGTAAAGCGGCGGTGCACTGTAACGCGTGTTTAATAGTGATACCGAATTGATAGAAACTGCACGCACGACATTTATTCACGGTTTCTCATGTTCGCATACCCTCATCCAGTGGTCCGTGAGGTGAGACTTCATGAGCCCGAGCCGTGTAGTTGGGTTTCACTTTCCTGAGGCCGGTAAACCCCCAAACAATTTCGCGCCTGCTCGTAATTCACGTGGCAGATCATGCGAAATCGCGAACTCTCATGAGATTTCACGAAGTTGACCCTCGCTTGATTTCCTCAAGTGTCGGAAGGCTTTCCGCACTGGATTTCATGAGTAATCGGGGGAATTCATGAGGCGCAAGTGGTTTCCACCGATATGCATGAGTGTTCACGTTGCAAAGTCGACGCTGCTAATGTTAATTAAGTATATTTCACATTGCGTAACGGATCTACCGTATGAAATGTGTGAGGTAGAGACATCAATTGAGAAATTCCTGAATGTTTACGACATTTTCCTTTGTCGTTGCAGACATGTTGACCATGGTGCATGACCTTCACAAACTGTCTATGTCTCTAAAATATATTGCCTACAACGGTGTAGCAGTCCTATCATGCAACAGCAACCACCCTAAAAAAAACCCATCAGGTCAAGCAAAAAACATGTTGGCACACATCTTATGAGGTCCACGTGATGGCACGTATTTGTGTTACGACCTGTTTTTGAGCCCACACTAAAGGATTAGGGACTGTCAACGAGCCTGAGATCCTGGATTCGCCGCCCGATCACCCTCATCAAGACCGCCCGCACCATTGCCCCCTGCAGCTGTCATCGATGCTATCACTGCCTCGGCAGCTGCAACATCCTCCCCTGGAACAACCTCCCTGGCACCGGCCTCTACCATAGCCGATGCTTTTCCTGGAGCCCCAGGAACACGTTCTGAGGCCGCGTTCTCGCCAGCGGGTGGCGAGATGGGGATTGGTGCGGTGCCTGCGAGGACAGACGTGGGATACAGCTCCTCTCGCCACGTGCGCCATTTGTGCCACGCCCTGGCCTTCAAAAGCGCAGTCCCCTCCGCATGAGTCATTTTCTCAATGTTGGCCCGGTCGGCGAGCTTCAGAGTTATCACCTCCCCGCGGGGGGGACGCCAGTCTTTCCGTAACACCGCCGCGGCAGCAGCATACGCTTCAGCGGCCTCCAGCTCTGAGTCCCATGATCCCAACGGGGTGGAGTAAGACCTACCCTTCGTGAGCCCAATCGCCGCCACCCACTTGCCGGTATCGGGATCCAGACGTACCCCTGTGTAGTTGGATGACCGCGGCCTGCCTCCAGTGAATGCGGTCCGCTCCGAATGGGCTTCCCCGAGCTCAGCATCACGGCCCGTCTTCCCTGGCCCTGCCCTCGATGTGACTGGATGTTGGTTTATGAGGTGCGGTTCCTGGACACCAGTCGCCACATCAGCATGTGCGGCAGGTGCTTGAGCAGTAGCAGGTGCAGCAAAGAGGTCTACTACTACCGCTTCGGCCGTGGCAAGTCCTGCATGAGCGAGAGCAAGTGGCTTAGAAATGGTCGGCTCCCTTCCCAAGCCTGGAGCCGCAGGGGCAGGGCTGCTTGCAGCTTTCTCGTGACTACGAGCGGCGACCACAGCCCGTGGATGGAGCAGTTCCTTCAGTGCGGCCACTTCCTGCATCAACATTGTGATAGTAGAATCCCTCTCTGCCATTTCCTTCACCAAGGACTCGACCTTGGCTTCCAGGCCCTCAATGGTAACAGCGTTCACGTTCACCCTGCTGGTCAGCTCGGCGATTGTCACGGCCATGCCTTTGAGGCGCGCCTCAACGACATCGGGCATGCCCTCTTCGTCTGCTGCCTCGGGTTCGTCACACTTGAGGTTTTCTTCAGGTACCGCCACGCCTGCGCTGACCAGCGCCTTGATCAGGTTACCCTGTGTGTGACTTATCATGTCGGCCCGGATTTCTCGGCGGCAAACCAGCGGGGAACATTCGAAAACCATTCCGGACTGCAATACTGCGAAAGAAGTGGAGACCAACGTGCGCAAGTACATACACACGTAGATTCCGCAGTCGTATTCGTCGGTCTGACGCGGAATCTTGTAAGTCTGCAAGAGCCACAAGCAGTTACCCATGAGTATGCGTAGCAGCGGTAATATGCCCATAAGCGGACATGGGGAAAGAATGAACAAAACTTACAGGTCCTTCCATACAGGCGAAACGAGCAACCCTTGCCGCAAGGTCATCCTCGGACAGATCCTTCTGGCGTCGCCACAATGCCTGTCCAAGGATTCTGAGATTGCACAAGGCTTGACAGCATGTCAGGGCGTAGTGAACACACTCCAACAACAAAACTGCAGTAACCGCTGCAAACCAGAATCGTACACAGCTTCCGTACAATCACTCGGACTCACACTTTGACATTGTTGAATATGTGAACCGAAATATCGAGGTGAACGCTGGTGGAGTCCAACAAAACAGCAGAGGGCGGAGTAGCCTTGTCGTACTCGTCGTCGGAGAGGAGCATGCGGCCGGGGTCCTGTAATACCACCAGACTCCAGTGTCGCACTTCGTCAATCCTGCCCACGTGGAAGAGGAGAAAGCATCCAGGTGAGAGATTTCCTGTGCGGTGCGACAGCAACTAGGGTATGCTTAAACATCAACATGAGACAATCTCGTCAACGCGTACTCGGTATGGACGACGATGCAGAGGAAATCGGAGTCAAGAATCGACTCTGCTGAATCACCACCGTAAAGTCCACCATCCATGAAAACGTATGAGTACGCGGAGGAGGGCATTACCCTCCATGTTCTCCCGTCTGGCAAACGGGGCTGTCGCAGTGACAGTAGTCTGCCACAATAAGAGTAATTTCGGAGTGCAAATCGTGAAACTCTACAATCCAACAAAATCCAGCTTCGACCTTCCGATCGAGATGTATGCGGAAGTAACTCACATGTTATGGAAGTCTATGATATTGGACGACAGTTCTTCTTTGTCCTGAATGTGAAGCGCATCCAACACCCCCAGGTTGGTCCAATCGCCGAAACTGTTGAAAATGTTGGCCGTCGGAAAGCCCTTGATCACCGGACCCCGACCTCGAGTTGGCATCTGGGGAACCTCGACTTTAACGCCGTTAGGAGAGATTATGTCTCGCGGGGTCGACAATGCTTCAGCTTTCTCTATGACTGTGGAGACAGGAAATGGGGTAGGCGCATCTAACACGGACTGTTTGTTTGAATGGCTTCTAAGTTTCTTAACAGGGCGGCCCTCTACATGCTCGACCACATCAGGCTGGCCCTTGTCGGACAAGACCACCTCGTCTGCCGAGTTTTCCCGTGCCTCATGTTGCTCTCTTGTTTGACCGCGCGTCCGATGAGGGGGCTTCTTAACCATGCTGGTAAGCTGGCAAGACACAACCTAAACGTGCAACTGGAGAGGAATGCGGTTCTCGCGGGGCCAAAGGCAAAGTGCGAACTATGAGATAGTTGGAGTAAGGGAATGAATGACAAGTCCTCCAATGCACCAGAGCGAGCAAACCCTAATGAGTAACAGTGGTTGCGTGCAGGTGGGGGGAATGAAGATTCACGAAACGGGAACACATGACTCCTCACTGCCAAAGTGGATTATAGTGAGTTTCAACTGAAATCCCATCTTTGCTGTCAGAAGCATTGGCGCGCAAAACAGAGTACCGAAACACTTCCGCGTGTTCTCGCGCCAACTGCATGGAGACAACGTTGGATAACTTTTACAGCCTGTGATACGATTCGGTCCGGGAAACTGTGTCACTATTCTTCCGAACCAGTTGCAGACGCGCCAATGTTAGAATCTGGCAGCAGGAATGATGAACTAACAGCATGCAGGAGTACAAGTAGGAAACCCTAATTTGGTTGTACCCCATATGGGCTACCCCACTACAGCCTAGACAATATGCAGCATACATGTTTGACACACCCCCATAGGCAAAGTGGGGGAGAACAAGGGGTCACACGACCAGAAAAGAGACGCAAAGCAAGCTCAGGGTGGATCTCAACGTCACCACACATTCTGAGCACAAGCAAAGGGCCGCAAGGCCAGTCCACATGCAGAGATATATATAAGCAACAAGAGCAGTACAGTGATCAATACCTAGCAAGAGCAAGCATGCAGGTATAAATATAGAACACAGTACACACAAAAGACTACAGCAAGTGTGGAAACGTAGGCACAAGGCCTAACAAAGTACAAAAGCGCTGATGATCACCAGACGGAAGCGCCTTGGTGAATATATCAGCAGTGTTGGCCCTAGTGGCCACGTGTGCAAGACGAAGCTGACCACGCTGCTGCAGCTCTCGAGCCAGAAAGTACCGCAGAGCGATGTGCTTCGTTCTGTGCTCCAGTCTGTGCTCCTCACACAAGGCAATAGCAGCCTTGTTGTCGACGTACAGCACTGGAGGAGAACGAGGCCGCTCTCCCAGGTCGGTCAGCAGGTAGGTGAGCCAGCGTAACTCCTGAGCAGCCATGGCGGTGGCGTAGATCTCAGCCTCACAACTGGAGCTGAGAACAGAAGACGAGCGAGTAGAACGCCAAGAAACAGAACCAGAGCCAAGGCTGAAAGTGTAACCCTGTGACGACCGCTGCGTAGCCTGGTCGTCAACCCAAGAAGCGTCTGAGTGCCCAGTGAGGACCACCTCTCGCCGTCCTCCAAGCACGAGCCCCATGCCCGATGTACTGCACAAGTAGCGCAGTACCCTCACGGGGTGCCTGGCGGAGACCGTAGACTGGCCGGCGGAGGCTCCACTGGGTACCAGGAGGGAACGTCCCAGTGAAGCCAGGTGGGCGGCGCAGCCAGATCTCCTCGTGCAGGCTGCCCTGTAGAAAAGCTGTGCTGAAGTCAAGGGAGTGAAGCTCGTAGTCACGCTGTGCGGCAACGTGCAGCAGCACCCGAAGAGTAGTCATCTTCGGGGTAGGAGAGAAGGTCTGGAAGAAGTCAACTCCCTCTCGCTGACTGAAGCCTCGAGCAACGTAGCGCACCTTGAAGACAGGCGGAGAACCTGGCGGCCGCTTCACCCTGAAAATCCACATGCCATCGACGATGTTCGCCCCGGGAGGGGGAACCTCATCGACGTAAGTGCCTGTGGACTTCCAGGATGCCATCTCTGCGTCCATGGCTGCCTGCCACTGAGAAGAGTAGGGACCCGCGATCGCCTCAGCGTAAGAGCGCGGTGTGGGGATGTCTATAGCATCCGGGTCTCCCTCAGGGGCAAGCAGCATGGCCACGAGATGAGGCGCAGCGGCTGCAAGAGACTCAAGGTCCTCGTGCCTGTCCTCAAGGACGTCCGTGCCAAGGGCACACTCACCCCCGACGGACGGAGGACAGACAGACTCAGACTCAGCAACAAGACTAGCAGCGTAGTCTAGACGACAGGCAGCAGCAAAGTTAACAAGCTCAGCGACTAAGGCAGACGCAGCAGCAGACTCAAACGACGGGTCAGTGACAACAGTGGCTAGCAGACGCGTGACAGTAGGGTGCTCAGCACGAAACCGGTCAGACTCAGGGTCCGCGACGACAGGCAAAGAGGACGCAGGGGGAGACGGAAGAGGAGTACGCTCCGGAGTAGGGGACCGACGCAGGGCTACAAGGCGTGTGCCGGGGACAGCCGGCTGACGCGGACGAGGAACACGACGACCGGTACGACTAGGACGAACAGGCGAGACTGGACGCGACGCAGGCTCACGACGCTCAGCAAGACTACCTGTCTGCTCAGTGTAAGGAGAAGGAGCAGGCAGCGGTGAGCCAGGCTGTAACGGAAGACCAGTAGACGACGGGAGAGTAAGAACCTGACGAAGAACAGAGTCAGGCGGCGGCAGAGACGACGGAGACGGCGGAGCGAAGAACAGTCGTGGCGGCGCAGCTGCACCAGTACCGGCAGCTCCAGCAGCTCCAGTACCTCCAGCAGCTCCAGCACCTCCAGCAGCAGAACCGACACCTCCAGGCCCAGGGTCTCCAACCCCAGTGCCTCCAGCAGCAGCACCCCCAGAACCAGCACCTCCAGTCCCAGGGTCTCCAGCCTCCACGTCTCCAGCAGCAGCACCCCCAGAACCAGCACCTCCAGTCCCAGGGTCTCCAGCCTCGGTGTCTCCAGCAGCAGCACCTCCAGACGCAGCACCCCCAGCCCCAGCAGCTCCAGTACCTCCAGTACGAGCACCTCCGGGACCAGCGACTCCAGCACCACCAGTAGACAAAGTACCAGCACCACTCCTAGCTCCAGGGACGTCAGCAGAAGTACCTCCAGCAGTAGAGCCCCGGGCTCCAGCAGCGCGACCCTGACGGCGACCGTACCAGTCGTGCAGCTGCTGTGAGGTGAGAGGCACACGTGGACGAAGGCGGCTACTCCAAGGAGACCGCGCAACAGCAGACTCTGAACCCTCAGCGCCAGCACCCTCAGCAGCTCCAGCGCCACCAGCACCAGGACCTCCAGCAGCTCCAGAACCTCCAGCGCTCGCACCCTCAGCAGCCCCAGAACCACCAGCTCCAGCGCCACCAGCACCAGGACCTCCAGCAGCTCCAGAACCTCCAGCACCCGCACCCTCAGCAGCCCCAGAACCACTAGCTCCAGCACCTCCAGACCCCTCACACGTAGGCTCAGCACCTCCAGGCTCCACACTCTCAAGCTCCGCACCCCCAGGCTCAGCACCCCCAGAAGTAGCACCCCGAGCAGGACCACCCCCAGTAGGACCTGAGTCACCAGTGACCTCGACCGGCGCAGGGAAGGGAGGAGGGTCTACCTGAGACACACCTGAAGGAGCAGGACCGGGAGCGGGGAGGGGGTCTACCTGGGGAGCACCCGGAGCGAGGAAGAGCGGCGGGGGAGGGAGAGGGGCAGTGCGGTAGGGGAAGAGACGGTAAAAGGGAACCGACTCATCGAACGTGACGTCCTGAGACGCAAAGACACGGCGCGAGGTGGGGTGGTAAAACTGCCAACCAGGCGCGTCAGGGACAAAGCCAAGGAAGACACAGGGAACTGCACGGGCAGAGAGCTTGTCCGCAGTGGTATCGCGGACAAAGGCACGAGCACCCCAGACCCGGAAACGCGACGCATCGCCAACCTTCCCCGTCCACAGCAGTGTGGGCGAGGTCTCCGGCAAGGAGACACGGGGCCAGAGGTTGAGCTGATGCGCGGCGTACCGGACCGCAAACGGCCACAGAAAATGGGGGGCAGCCGCATGGATCATGGAGGTACGAGCGACCTCCATGACTAAGCCAATGCGGCGCTCAGCAACCCCATTCTGCTGCGGAGAGTCCGGAAGCGTGAACGACTGGGTGATGCCGTGCTCCGCACAGAAGGCTGCCAAGAGGTCTGAGGAGAACTCACCACCTCTGTCAGAGTGCAGACGCAGGACGGGAAACTCCGTCCCAAACCGCTCGCGGAGCTGGAGACGGGCAGCGCGGATCCAAGGGATCAAAACAGCAGGGACCTCCCCCTTGCTGCGCAGGGGAAAGACCGTGGTGTAACGCGTGTAGTCGTCAACAACCAGCAGGAAGTACCGCTCGTGGCCCTGTCCACGGACGCGGGCGGGGCCCCACACGTCCAGGTGGAGAGTCTGCAGGGGAGCCTCTGTGGGAGGGAACGAGGAGGAGTGAGGAGCGGCGCGCTGCCGCCCCTCGACGCAAGGAATGCAGGGCGGCGCAAGCGAGGGAGGCAGGGCAGGCAAAGACCTGGGAAGACCAGAAACCAGGAAGCGAGAGTGCATGCCACGAAGGCGCTGCACCGAGGGGTGACCAAGGCGGTGGTGCCACAGGGCCGTCGGCTGACCTGACGCAGACGCAGACGCAGCTACCTGAGGGGACTCAGTGGTCAGGGTGTACAGACTCGAGCCAGGCGCACGGGTAAACGTGGCCAGATGTCGGCCGGTCCGAGCACACGTACAGTGAGTCACTCGCTGACTCGCAGGAGTGAACTGGTGCACCCCCCTATCCTGGAGGTCAGCTCCACTCACCAAGTTCGTAGAGAACGAGGGGAGGTAAAGACCTGACAGCAAGCCAGACGGGGCGGCCGGACACGGTAGAACCGTGGAGTAGTGGGCAAGGACTGGACCCCCGGAGGGGTCCGCCAGGGAGACTGGAACCGGCCGACTAAGCGGCGTGAGTGTGGTACAGTCGCGAAAGAAGGAGCGGGAAGCACCTGAGTCCAGCGTGAAGGTGTACAAGGCCGCAGCAGGCGCAGACCCAGAGAGAGCAGACTCACCAGCACCTGGAGCAGGAGACGTACCGGCACCTAGAGCAGCAGCCTCACCAGGACCCAGAGGAGGAGACGCACGAGCACCTAGGGCAGCAGCCTCACCAGTACCGGGAGCAGCAGGCGCTATACCAGGGTCAGGCGGGACGCACAGGTAACAGGCACGGTCAACACTAGTAGGTAATGCATACATGGCAGTGAGAATAGCATCATAGTCAGGAGCAAAGATATCTACCCTCCGTCCAAGCAGCTCCAGCCAGTCGGGGAGCTCAGCCTCGTCTCCAAACACTGTACGCCAGTCGTCGCTCAGATGGGCGAAGCAGCGGGACTGTGTGTGACCAAGCGTCCCGCAAGGCTGACCAACCCGATCACCTGTGCGAATGACGTACTGGCAGCGAACTGTACGCGTAGACCTGCTACACTGAGCGTACCACTCGTGGAGCTGCCGGGACGTAAGTGTCTCGCGAGGACGCCGCTGCAGCTGCAGCTGGCCACTGCCGGACGCTCCCAACTGACCAGCTCCAGGGGGACAGCTACGACTGCTACCGCGACAACCCCAACTAGTATACCACTCACTAAGCTGCTGGGGCGTGAGAGACTCTCGCGAACGTCGCTGGGGCTGCATCTGGCCACCGGCCAGTAGCAGTAGCAGCAGCAGTAGCGCGGGCAGGGCAGGCGCGGCAGGCCGACAGGCAGGCAGGCCGGCAGGCAGACAGACAGACCGGCAGGCAGGCAGGCCGGCAGGCCGACAGGCAGACGGGCAGGCAGGCAGGCCGGCAGGCAGGCAAGCAGACAGGCAGGCCGGCAGGCTGGCAGGCAGGCAGACAGGCAGGCCGGCAGGCAGGCAGGCAGACAGGCAGGCCGGTAGGCAGGCAGGCAGGCAGGCAGGCGCTCACCAAAGGCTGGAAGAGCAGGCGCTCGCCGGGCGAGCAGGGCCGGCGCTCAACGGGCGGCGGCCGAGTAGGCGCACGACAGCGGCGACGTCGGGGCCGCAACACCCGGTGCAGAGTAGGGCCGAAGCAGCTGCAGGGCGGGGCCGCTTCAGCGGCAGGTCGGGGCCGTGGCAGCTGCAGAGCGGGGCCGTATCAGCGGCAGGTCGGGGCCGAGGCAGAGGGACGCGGGCGGCTCGGCGCGGGCTGCACTAACAGCGCGCTGGGCTGCTGCAGGCCGCGCGCGGCCGCGTTAGGCAGTGGCGAGCCGCGCGCGGCTCGGCGCGGGCTGCTGCGGGCCGCGCGCGGGCTGCTGCGGGCGGCGCGCGGGCCGCGTGCGGCATGCTCGGTGCGGGCTGCGCGCGGCTGCAGCGGGCTGCGCGCGGCTCTGTGCGGGCTGCGCGCTGCCGCAGCGGGCTGCGCGCGGCTCGGTGCGGGCTGCGCGCGGCTGCAACGGGCTGCGCGCGGCTCGGTGCGGGCTGCGCGCGGCTGCAGCGGGCTGCGCGCGGCTCGGTGCGGGCTGCGCGCGGCTGCAGCGGGCTGCGCGCGGCTCTGTGCGGGCTGCGCGCGGCTGCAGGGGGCTGCGCGCGGCTGCAGCGGGCTGCGCGCGGCTGCAGCGGGCTGCGCGCGGCAGCTGCGGGCTGCGCGCGGCTGCAGCGGGCTGCGCGCGGCAGCTGCGGGCTGCGCGCGGCTGCAGCGGGCTGCGCGCGGCTCGGTGCGGGCTGCGCAGGCCTGAAGGGCGTGTAGGGGCGGTGCGAGACTTTACGGGCCTCTAGGGGCAGCGCGCTGGCCTAGGGCAGCAGGAGGCAGCGCTAGGGCTGCTGGACGGCTCGCGTAGTGCAGCACGTCACAAGGCAAGGCAAGGCAGGCAGGTACGTGGGGTAGCGCGGTAACCGCAGTGGTAGGTGGGCCCGAAAAAAACGGTCCTACGGACCTTAGTGCTCTGAAACCATGTTAGAATCTGGCAGCAGGAATGATGAACTAACAGCATGCAGGAGTACAAGTAGGAAACCCTAATTTGGTTGTACCCCATATGGGCTACCCCACTACAGCCTAGACAATATGCAGCATACATGTTTGACAGCCAACTAGACCGTTGCACGTTTGTCTTTCCCAAAGCCCGAAATGTTTCGGTCACCAAGCCTAAACAGGGCGAAAGCATCAAAACATCACAAGTGTGGGGAAAATAAAACAGATCGGGCTTCGTGCGATCGTTGTGCTGCCACGTGGCGATAATAAAGCAAAACGCGCTTCCAAGAATTTGAGCAAAACTCTCCACTACATCGCAGCACCCAATCCAGCCGCGTTCCATCCGAATTTCTGGGAATGGAATTTGCAGCCCCGTCCGAACGAGCCCAGTTTCGCAAAGACGACTTTCTGTGGCCCGGGCTCGTTCGCACGCCGTCGAGATTTGCACCGCGAAAGTCGTATTCGCGAAACTCTTTTCCGAGGGGGCGCGATAAATGCAATTTTACAGACAAGCAGCCCAGGTATGGCGCATGTTACAACACATTCAATCTCGATTTTATCCTATGGCTCATACACCGTAGATTGCTACGCCCAGCTCACATCTCCTATCCTAAGCTACTGGTAGATACTGCCATCAGAACCATGCTTCATGCCCCTACACTTGCCCTCGCCGGACAAACATGGAGCCATGGTTGTTGCTCTTGAGTTCTATTCATTTGTACAAATACGGTAAGCCACAGTTATGACAAGAGCTGGCCCTGCTCATCCTTCCTATCACCCCTCCTAACTTGGTCACTACCAAGCCCACTCACACCCATCAGCAATCTCATGAGTCATGACACCTCAGACCGTTTATAAAAACAACACAAGCGGCGGCAGTCATGCTTATGCAGCAATGAGGTCACCAGTCAAGGCCAAGATCACGTGAAACAAATAGATCCTCCACCGCAGCAGCGACATCAGTAACACTTGTAACAAACTCAGATGATGGCTCACGCCAGGACTCCTCTATTTATTGGGATTGGCATGGGCAGAGGGTAGGCATAGCACATGGCACATCGAGTGCAGAGAGCAGAGAGAGTGGAAGCAGGGGGTGCAGCAGGCGATTGAAAAATACTAAATTCCAGCATGATTGCACGCAATGCAGAAATCCACTTACGGTACAAAGGCATTGGGCAACAGAGCAAGTGGTGAACAATACCAAGGTTGCGAGGGGTGCAGAGAGGAAGATGATCTCACATCCCTCCCACCATATCAAGGTTCCTGAAGCCAGAGTCATCAAATCGAAGGATAGCTATTACCATCAGGGGCCCACAAACCTCTGCAAAACTCATCCTCTGCCATTTTCCACCATTTCCTTCACATACGACCTTCCAACCATTCAACCAACCCCCCCCCCCCCCCCGCCTTTTTCCCCCCAGGAGCCACCATCACATCCGAGCAGCACTCAGCGCTCACTGGTTGTGAGGTCGGATCAGCACTCACCGTCTTCCCCCAGATGGTGCAGGAAGGAGTCGGTGGAGGGGAGCGCGTACATGCCAGCAGCGACGAGGCTGCGGATGGCCCACGAGTGGTGAGCGCTGAACACCTCATTGTATGCCCGACTCGCATGCTCCCTCAGTGGCCTCATGCTGCGCCATGGGAGGGGCATGGGATGTGAGGGGGGGAGCACGGCGAGTGGGGGGAGGGGCAGGATGGGAGGAAGAGAAAAAGAGGAGAAGATGAAGGGGATATTGCGGAGCAGATGACACCTTAGTTTTCAAATGCTCAAGACACAGGACGTTTCAGAGGAAGACGAGTGCGAGAGATAAGTGGGATGGGAATGAAGCGCCGTGTCAAACACATCTCTGTCAGAAATGCTATCTCTGCCTTGTCTTCTATGCTGCGAGCGAACACAGCGTTCATGCCATCAGTCTATGAAGATAGCATGCTGCCTGTGCTCTGCACTGGCAGCATACAGAGTGCGTGGTCCAGCGAGTGAGAGCCACAGCACACAAAGACCTTCAATACAACGTCAAGAGAGATTGTGGCAGAACAGCTTGTGCCTGATGGGAAGCCATATCAACACTCCCCGCAGGTAGATCGCTGATGAGCCCAGCCAGCAATTTTACTCGCCCACAACAACGCACACTTGCACACCCACACACCCACATCCACACTCCCTACCTCTCCTCCCCATTTTCTCCCCTTCCCCCATTCCCCCTGTCTTTCCCCACTCACACACCCGCACACACACTCCCTCCGACGCACGCACCAGTTGTCAAGAATATAAGAGAAGAGGCGATGCATCACGTCGACTTTAGAGGCACCTTCCTCTCCCCCCCCCCCCAACCTCCCCTCCTCACCCACGCACTCTCTTTCCGACGCACCAGTCGTCTAGGATGTAGGAGAAGAGGCGGCGCAGCGCATCATGTCAAGCCCTTTTGAGGTGCCTCAAAAGGCCAAACCCCGTTTCCCTCATTCCCCCCCCCCCACACACACACTCCAACGCACCAGTCGTCTAGGATGTAGGAGAAGAGGTGGCGCATCATGTCGAGCCCACGCAGCACTCACGATGAAGATAGCATGCTGTATGTGCTCCGTGGCTTGCAAAGTACGCGGGTCCAGTGAGTGAAAACCAACACCCTTCTCTCTGTCACACGCACCAGTCGTCAAGGATGTAGGAGAAGAGGCGGCGCATCATGTTGACTTTTGAGGCACCTCGCTCACCCGCCTCCCCACCCCCTTCCTAACACACGCACACTCTTTGACGCACGCACCAGTCGTCAAGGATGTAGCAGAAGAGGCGGCGCATCATGTCGAGCCCGCGCAGCACGCGCAGCAGGTTGCGCGTGTGGCTGTTCTGCACCTTCACGGAGCCTTTACTCACGTCCGCATCCACCATGCTGCCCAGGGTTGTGAACTCCTTGCCTGCTACCGTCAGGTCCTTCACCTGGGGAGATTACGGTGTGGTTGGAAGGAGGGATGCGGTAGAGAGAGGTGGGGATGGGTTGGAGAGAGGAGGGAACGGGGGTTGGTGCTGTTCTGCGCCTTCACGGAGCCCTTGCTCACATCCGCATCAACCATGCCGCCCAGCGTCGAGAACTCCTTGCCTGCTGCGGTCAGGGTCTTCACCTGCGGAGAGGGGGAGGAGGGATGCGGTGGAGTGGCGGGGATGGGGTTGTGCCGTTCTGCACGTCTCCGCACCCCTGCTCACGCCCGCATCCACCATGCCAGAGGAGGGAATACGGCGGAGAGAGGCATAGATGGGGTGGAGTTTCGAGCCTAAAAAACATACACATGAATTCACAGCTGCAGCTCATTTGGATCATGATCTGTGGCATCTTTCTCCTGGTGATCTGTCCGCTCGCACCTACCTTATCTGTGAAGTCCTTCCCCGCGAACGCGAAGGCGACACCGAGGAGCGAGAAGAGCCGCGAGATGCCGTCGCACGCGTGCGCAAATTCCGCCACGCTCATCGCCTCCGCCTGCCCCGCAACGCTCGCTTTCTTCCCCCCGTCTCCCCCGGCGGCAGAGTCGGCGCCAGCAACAGCACCATCAGCTGCAGCACTACCAGCAGCAGCAGGAGCTCCGGCCGCAGCAGCGTCAGCCGTTCTGGGGCTGTCTGCTTTGGCTGCGGCACCCATGGTGCGTTGCAATTCACCGAACCGTTTCGCCAGAACTCTCAGATTTCGGTGCTCGTCGCCTGGCGAAGCTGACACCGGCGGCGCTGCAACGGTCGACGCGGCATTCCCCGCGTCTGCACTCGACCCTTCGACTGCTGCGCCTTCAGAAGCCATGGGTTGAAAACAGCCGCGCGTTAATTCAACTGAAAGAACGGCTGCGATATCGGATACGCAGCACTGTGTAGGAACAAGTCAGAGCACCCGACGCCGGAGTCGACGCGGGCCTGGAGATAGTTCAGATAGTTCAGACAGTTCAGATAGTTCAGACAGTTCAGATAGTTCAGATAGTTCGGATAGTTCGGATAGTTCGGATAGTTCAGATAAGAGAATGATCCGTCGATAGCCCACTGTTGACGCAACAATCTAACGTGCTCAGTGATCAATGATCAATGATACGTGCTCGGTGCTTCCGCACGTTTGAGTAAAAACGTTTTTTATGATCAGTCCAGGCGTTGAGGAGGAAAAGGAAAGAATATCCTGAAAGCTAGCGGCAGAGCAGCAGTGATGCGCAACAGCAGGCCGAGCCTGGAACACGCAACTTTAGATCAAAGAACAGGAGGGAGTGTCACAGCCGCACTTCCGAATTCCAGGTCCCTTGATTATTTCCTCAGGTATGATCAAGCATGGATTTCTGAAATTCGGACCTGGTCCTCGATATGACAACTTTGTGGATAAGAAAATGGGAACACAGCCGAAGGGTCAGACAGCAGCTTTGCGAATCCAGGCTTGGTGCTGTGACGACAACACGAGACTGGCTTCGGCCTGGTCACCGTACGGTCTCGCTATCATCGCGCAGCTTGCGGGAAATCGGAGAGAAGGGTCAACTCCCGCTGATTTTGGCGATCGATAGTGCAATTTCGATCGGCCACCGTACTGGAAACCTGCTATCGAAGTTTCCAACTTTCCAGACCTTTTTAAAACCATAAAAAACACTCTCCTGCGCAGGATCGAACGTGCCAATGTGGTTGGAATTGACGCGTCACATTCTTCCCGCACAATTCACCAGGAAAGCACTCGGTACAACATACCATTTACAAACAAAACTAACAAAAAAAATGTGAAAACTAGCTTTGTGGGAAGCAGCAAATCCATTTCCCACAAAATTCTGTCTCCATGGTTGAAGTGCCCCCCTCAAAGAGCATCCATGGACGGAGCCTAGCTGACCCCGTCCCTGCTTTATACTAGCAGCAGGTAAGGGAACCAATATTCCATTGTCTGGAAAAAATGGAAATGACCAACGGATCAAGCGGCACAGCTAAAAGAAGCGGTCAGGAGGAGACCCCCCACTGTGGCCGCCAGAAAGAAAAGAGGGGAGGCGATAGCTGGTGGATAAATCACCCAATGCGCTGCCACCACCACCAGCACCGGCACCACCAGAGACATGCATGCCTCCCGCTGCTGCTACAGTGGCAGCAGATGTGGATGAGGGAAGGGAGCGGCGAGAGAGCATATCGGCCCCGTGGAAAGAGCTTTCACGGCTGCTGCTGCTGCTGCCGGGACTGCCGTGGTGCAGCATGTTGTTACTGCTGCTGTTGCTGCCCGCGCCGGCACTGTGACCGCCGCCGCTGCTGCCACCACCTGCACCGCCATTGCTGTTGCCACCTCGCTTTGCACGCACACTGATTCCCACTGGGAACGGCTCCTGAAGAGGTGAAGTTCAGAGGGGAGCAAACGGGAGCAAGAGAGCCAATGAGAAACTATCAGAGAGGGGGAAAGGAGCAGGCAAACACAACCTATTTAGGAGGGGAAAAGGCTGATATGACCTCCTATTGCTCACAACACAAGATTTTGCAGGACGACTTACACAGCAGCAGCACCAGTGATGCAGGGATGTTTAGGAAAGGAAACATGTGGTAAGAGGAAAGGAACTAAGAAGTTCCCTGCCAGCACCGCGCCACGACTCACCTGGTCGCCGGCGTTTGGCCCCTGCGACTGGAACAGGATGGGGCGGCAGCGCTTGTCCTCGTTCATAAGGGAGGAGTTTTGGAAGTGCGCGATGAGGGCCTGCTTGCCCTGGATGCGCGCGTATGCAATGTTGGCCACCTTCTCACTGTTGAACTTCTCCCACCGCTTCCCGTTGAAGCTCTGTTCAAGCAGTGAGGTTAGGGAAGATGAGAAGGGACAGCAGGGCAGAAACGATCAGTACACGACACGGTACAATCTCCGCGGCCAACAGCCCAATGCAATTAGAGACAGGATAGGGAGGGAGAAACCCAACGAGGACATGAATGAGGGTGGTTGAGGGAGCAGAGCGAGGTGGAACAGTTGGTTGGTTGGGTGGGTGGACTGTACGGTGTAGCCAGTCACTAGCAGCTTTGATGCGTCTCACGGTAGCAGCAGCACACAACACGTGCGAGTAAACTAGCAGCACACAAGTAGTAGCACAGAAACTAGCAGCAGCAGCAGCAGCAGCAGAAAGAGTACCTGGTAGAGCGGAACGATCTTATATGGGTCCATCATGTTGATAAAGGCATACCCCACGTTGCACTTGTTCTGCTCGTAGCGAGGGGTGGACGGGTGGGTGGGGGGTTGAGGGGAGGGGCACAAGAGGAAGGTAAGAGAGAGAGAGATTAGTTTGTTCTAGACGAAATTGAGCAAAAGAAAACGGGAGTGCGTAGAGCTGAAGCGACACAAGGGAAAGCAAACACGACGTGAGAGGCATGGACGCCAAAATCTACAAATTCGAAGTGGCTGGAGCATGACGCATAAGCAAGACAAGGGGAAATGGCAGGAGAGAGGATGTAGGGATGGGTAGAGGAAGGAGGGGGGGTGGGGGGAAAGGGTGCGGACTAGAAGAAGAAAGCAAGTGGAGGACAGGGGAGGAGAGCATGAAGGGCAAAGACCTTGAAGTCAATAGGGAGGTAGAAGAAGTCGTAGGTGCCCTTGTGCTTCTCATCGATGGCTGCAAGCAGCATCTTCTGTGTGTACCTGTGGATACACACATGCATGCACACACACACCACAGACACACACATGGCATCCGTCCCACATCCATGCACACAACACAACCATGCGAGCACAATCAAACATGCGCAAGGCCACTCACCCAGACCCACACAGACATACATGGAAACAAATGACTTATGAGTCGGCTCAAAACTCACCCAACCCCACACAGACATACATTGAAACAATGAGACCCACCAAGAGGGTAGGGAATACGGGTAATGGCTGTCAGCACCTTACACATGGCACGGCACGGCACCCAACAGGCCAGGGAAACACCCTGCTCTTCACGTGCACACCCTGCACAAGGTTACTCCTCCTCACATCCATACCAACCACGCACATATCTCGCAACCCCTTCCCAACCGCAGCAAATCCTCCTCCCGTCCCCTAGGCCACTCTCCATACATTCACCCCTTCTCCTGTCCCCTCCACCACTCCTCTCTACTCAACAGGAAAAAAAAAAAAACCCTACAACGGAACGGGGCTCACTTGTTGGGAATGTTCTTGATCATGAGCGTGGTGCGCGAGTCCTCCCCTCGCAGTATCCGATCCACCTCCAGCAGATACTGCCGCTTCGCATCCCCACCACCGCCACCACCCCCGCCCCCGCCCCCACCCTCCGACCTCCTCCCTCGACTCCTCTCCCCATACCCTTCCATCCCTGCCCCTCCTCCTCCTCCTCCCCCACCACCACCACCACTCCCTCCTCCCCCTCCCGGCCCTCCTGCAACCCTCCCGGCGTTCTCCCCCCCTCCCAGCCCCGACAAGGACCTTCCACTCGCGCTGTTCTTTAAATGAGGCGACAGCAGACTGGGAGAAGGCGGAGTGCCCTCCAAACCACTCTCTAGCCCCAGCATAAGAGCCGCTGCCACCGCTCCTACGCCCCCACGGGTTCTATCCATGCTCCCCATGCTGCCCATGCTGCCCATGCTGCCCATGCTGCCAAGCGGCTCGCGAAGGCTCGTGCTGCTGGCCGAAACACCTGGGGATATACCTGGCGGGGTTATTCCTCCCACCCCATACTGCGATCCAAACCCTCTCCTGAGCCCAGACCCCAGGCTCGACGCCAAGCTGGGATTCAGGCTCGGCATGCCCAGACCTAACCCAGCCCCGTTGAAATCAACTGCCGCAGAGCCAGCAGCAGCTGCAGCTGCTGCTGCCGCTGCTGCAGCGCTGTTGAAATCAACAGCAGGAGACGCTGATCTGGGTGCTGCTGCTGCTGCTCCTACTCCTGCTGCTGTTGGTGGTGGGAAGTGCAGGCCAAAGGTAGTGTCAACACCATGATGCAAAGCAGCAGCGGCGGACAGAGAACTAGACAGCGCACCAGCAAAGGAGCCTGAAAACGAACCCGAAAGTGAGCCGAAATGATCCATCCCATGGCCAACACGACCACTACCAGCCACCCCCGCTCCCACTGCTGCTCCTCCTGCTGCTGCTCCCGCCATAACACTCAACCGCCCACCGCCCACGCCTGTTCCACTACCCCCCATTGACCCTCCCAGCAGCCCGTTTCCTAGCAGAGGGCTTTCGTAGGGAAAAGATTCGGGTGAGCCTGAGAGGAGGCTGTAGGAGCGACCGGGGAGGAGAGGGTCCGATGCGGCGAAGTGAAGGAGCGAGTCGGAGTTGTGATGGGGCGAGCGCATGTGGATGGGGTGCTGGTGCTGCTGGTGGTTATGGTGCATCGATTGCTGCTGCGCATGTACATGCACCTGCTGCTGCTGCTGCTGCTGCTGGCGGTGCTGCAACGGCTGCTGAAACAGCTGCTGCTGCTGCTGCTGCTGTTGCTGGAGGTGTTGCTGTTGTTGCTGCTGGTGTAGTTGTTGCTGTTGCTGCTGCTGCTGTTGCTGTTGCTGTTGCTGTGCTTGAGCCTGCGCGTACAGCTGCATCTTCATCGCAAATGGGTCTGCAGCACGGAGGGCAGGGGCAGCAAACCCATGCGCACCACCACCACCACCACCACTAACACCACCACCAGCAGCGCCACCATCACCAACAGCACCAGTGGTAGCAGAGGTAGCAGAAGCCATAGTCGGTGAGGAGTGACCGAGCGCCCCAAACGAGTGAGCTCGGCCCATCTTTGCAGCAAGCCTACCCATTTCCGTACCCATGCCCATGCTTCCACTGCCACCTGATAGCGCGTCCGCCCCACCTGCCGCTAGCCCTGGCAGCCCAAGCTGCTGCTGCGGCTGCTGCTGGAAGGAAAGCTGGTTGAGCAGGTGTGATTGCAGCGTGGGATTTGCACCTCCTGCTGAAGCTTGCAAGCTCAGGGATTGTGCCAACGTCAGGAGAGACACAGGCAACCTGCTGCTGTTGCTGCTGCTGTTGCTGTTGCTGTTGCTGTTGATGCTGCTGATGCAGCTGCTGCTGCTGGTAGTGAAGCAGTTGCATCTGCTGCTCGTGAAGCGCTGGGCGTAGGGCTGGCGGCAGCGAGGGGTGAAGAGACGAGGGACCTGCCCCCCACAAGGCGTTCTCTGGGAGAGACGAGGAGAGGTGTGCATGGGAGGAGAGAGCGCGTAGCTGCTCCTCCTGCTGCTGCTGCTGCTGCTGATGCCGCTGCCGCTGCTCCTGCAGCTCCTGCTGCTGCTGCAGCTGCAGCAGCTGCTGCCGCTGCTGAATGTGGTGCTCCAAACCCCGTGCTGATACTCCTCCCTGCTGCTGCTGCTGGTGGCGCGTGTTCTCCTCCCCATGCTCCAAAATACTGCTAACAAGCAACGACTCAGAATTGGCCCAGCTACCACCGCCGCCACCACCACTCACACGCACAGCACGCGCAGCAGCACCGAGGGACGTCTCGGAATTAGCCCTGGGCATCCACGCAGGGCCAGCACCTGGGTTCATCGCTTGGTACGGCGACGGACCGGTGTTTGCAGCTGCGTTGGCAGCGGCGACAGCGGCGGCAGTGGAAGCAGCCGCAGCCGCAGCAGCTGCGGGGGGGTTCGTTGTGTTAAGGCCCGCGTGGGTGTCGTTGTTTGGGGCGGACGCGAGGAAGGGAGAGGGAGGAGGAGGAGGAGGAGGAGGACGAGGAGGAAAAGGCAGTGGCGGAGGCATTGAGACCGTAGTCTGGCAGGGAGTTGGAATGGTGCAGCAGACGCTGCTGCTGCTGCTGCTGGCTTTGCTGCTGTTCTTGTCGCTGCTGCTGCTGCTGCTGTTGCTGCATCTGAACCACCACTTGCTCATCTCGTTGCACTGTTCCCTGCGGTTTCTCACCTGTCTGTCCTTCCCCTCCCACTACCTCACTCCCCTTTCCATCGCCCCTACCACCCTTACCGCTCATATCAGCCCCATGCCCGTATAAAAGCTCCACACCTGCCGCCCGCACCCCTGCACCTGCCTCCCCGCCAGGAGCACGCGGGGGGGAGGACGCGGAAGGGGCGTCGGGGGGAAGAATGCGCCCCCCGCGCCCCACCTCCACTGTGGTGGCGGCTGCAGCGGCGGCGGCCGCCTCATGGGGGGAGGACGGGGGGAGAGGCGGGGCGTGGTGCGCGCTTCCCCCCTGGGAGCGCCAGAGGCGGTCGGAGGGGGGGAGAGAGACGGAGATGGGACCGGCTGCGTCTAGGAGAGCGCTCAGCGGGAGCATAGGGGGGAGCGGCGGCTCCTCGTGCTGCTCGTTCAGCTCCAAGCTGCTGCTGCTGTTGCTGCTGCTGTTGCTGTTGTTGCTGTTGCTGCTGTTGTTGCTGCTGCTGTTGCTGTTGCTGCTGTTGCTGTTGCTGTTGCTGCTGTTGCTGTTGCTGTTGCTGCTGTTGCTGGTTGCGCTGCTGCTGCTGCTGCTGCTGCTGCTGCTGCTCCTGCAGCTCCTGCAGCCATTGCTGCGCGTGGGATTGCTGCTGCACTGAGCGGTTCTGAGACAAGGGCTCGGATACCTGTGACAGGCAAACGTGCGGACGCACGGATAGACACACAAGCAGAGCAGGCACACAGAGAGGCAAGGGATGCACTGAAACCGCACGATCCATCAACAGGTAAAGAAAAGAACGGGAAAAAGCTCGCAAGCGCCAGAAAATGTTGCAAGTGCAAGTGCGGAAAAGGCAGCAACCGTGCAACACAAAACCGCTCACCTCCTGCTGCTGCTGCTGCTGCTGCTGCTGTTGCGGCTGCTGCTCCTTCTGACGCTCCCGCTGATGCGATACTGCTCCAGCACTCTCTTGACTCGCCGCGCTGACAGCAAAAACGCAAGCACACACACACACACACACAGAGGTCACGCCCAACCGAAGAGACGCAAACGAGGCAAAGGTGATTACAGGCAAGAACGGAAGAAGAGTGAAGACAGCAAGAAGGAGACCTTCAGCTTCATGGATACAACAAGCGACAGGCGCTACATGTCGGCTCAAGCAGGCAGTGCCCTGATGGACCAGGACCAGCGTGTGGACAAACCAGCAGCGAGTGCCCCCCTCTCGCACTCGAGACCGGCCCATGGGCGGGCTCCTGCGCTCCGCTCCTCACCTGTGGCGAGCGTCCCTGGGGCTGCGGTTGAGCGCCCTCAGCGCCGCCTCTGCAGCGCGCACGTCGTAAAACTCCACCAGCCTGCTGCTGCTGCTGCTGCTGCTGCCCGGGGGCCTCGCGGATCTGTCCGGGGGAGCGTTAGTGGTGGGAGGGAAGGAGGCAGGGAGGGGGGAATGGAAGAGGGAGGGAGGCAGGGGAGGCAAGAGGTGTTATAGCAGGCGTTCCTAATAAGCACTCTATTGCAGCGCGCACGTCGTCGAAACCACCAGCATGTGCTGCTGTTGCTGCGGGGCCTCGCGCAATTGCCCTCAGAAGGTGGCGAGAAGAGAGTGGCGGGAGGGGGGGGCGGGGGTGCAAGCAAGGGAGTGGTGGGGCGACCAGGAAGAAATGGCAAGTGAAGGCAAGCGAAGGCAAGAACAAAGGGAAGAAACGGCAGCGGTAAGGAACGAATGGAAGGTGGCAGCGACTGACCTCCTTGACGTCGCCGTACGCGGACATGATGCGCAGCAGGTCGTGCTCTGGTAAGCCAGTGGCACCGGCGGCGGTGCCGGTTGTGGCCGTGTTGGTGGATGCAGGCACACATGGAACCAACAGCGTGCCCTGATTAACGTCCTTGTCCGACGGGTTATCCTGCTCGCGGGCAGACACAACACGGAGTGCGCCGAACGAGTGAGGGAGAGTGTGAGTGTGAGTGACAGTGCCAGCTGACCCCTTGGCAACAAAAACGGAAAACGGGAACCCTGGGGACGAGTAAAGGAGACTTTGGAGAATCAGGCTGAGACGAGGATGGAACGGATGGAACTCGGATGGGGCACGGCACGAGGAGCAGACTGACCTTGGGGATGGAGAAGTGGATGTTTTTGAGACGTCTCAAACCACACTTTGATATCACCTGGCTACCGGATGGGGCACGGCACGAACGAGCGGACTGACCTTGGGGATGGAGAAGTGGATGTCGAGGTTGCGGCGGCGCAGCGGCGTGCCCTGCAGCGCGGCCATGGCGGCGAGCGCCGCGCGGAGGTCGTAGAAGGACACCATCACGAACCCGCGGTGCTTGCACGCCGTGTACAGCGTGCGGATGTCGCCGTGGCGCTGCCGGGGGAGAAATCGGGGAGATTGGGGAGGGGGGAGGTTGGGGAGGGGGAAGGGGGGAAAAGGGGGAGGAAAAGAGGGCTTTTAAGAGGTCGACGTCTCACAGCGCGGTGCTTGCACGCCGCGTACAGCTTGCGGATGTCGCCGTGGCGCTGCCGGGGGTGATACGGGGGAAGGTTGAGGAAAGGGGGAAGGGGGAGGAGGGGGCGACGAGGGTCGGGGGACGGAAAGGAAGGGTGAATTCTGAGTTGCGGGGGAGGGGAAAATAGAGAGAGGAAAGAGGCGGGACGCGAGGGAATGGCAGAGAGCAGTTAGATCTTGGTTCTTCCACGCGAGATTCCTTAGCACTGCTGCTGCCCTTCCAAGCACGAGTAACGACGACCTGCGGAGGCGAATCTAGGCGAAGGAATGCGAAGAAAAAAGCGAAGGAAAGCGAGGGAAAGCGAAGGAAAGCAAAGGAAGAAAAGGGAGCGGATCGATCTGCGCACCACAAACAGCGCGCGCAGCTCCGCGTCCTCCACGCTGCTGTTGATGTTCCGTACGAACAGCGTCCGCGACGGCCGCTCCCCGCGCGGATGCTCACTCCCCGCGCCCTGCGCTGCGCCCGAGAACGCGGACGCTGCCACCGCCGTCGTCGTCGCTACCATTCCCGCCGCCGCCGCAGCCTTGCCCCCGCCCGCCCCCTGGTGAACCGCGCCTTGCGGAGCCCCGCGAGTACCAGCAGCACCACCAGCACCAGCAGCGGCGGCGGCGGAAAAGGCATCGCGCGGAAGGGGCAGGCGGCGGAAAGCCCCCTGCACCGCCATGCCGTCCGCGGGGTCGAGATCCAGCTCCATGCCTCCGCTGCTGCAGAACAAATCGTCCGCCGCGTCGTCCCCCTCCGCGCCATCCCCCTCCCCGCCATCGTCCCCCGCGCCTCCCCCCTCCCCCCTTCCGCTGCCCGCGCTCCCCCCTGCGCGCATGCTGCTGCTCGCGCGACGGGCTGCGCCGGTCGAATCGGATTCCGCGACAGCAGCAGTAGCAGCAGCAGCGGCGGCGGCCGCGGCGGCGACGGCTTCCGATCGCAGGTGTCGCTCGTACTCCTCTGCGATGTCTGCGAAGAGCTCTTCCTCGTCGTCCGGAAGGATCTGCGACGGGAGCTGATCGGCGAAAGCACGAGGCACGTCGCGATCCAGACCTAGTACTTTCGGGCCTTGGATCGCGAGATCCGTGCCTTGCAGCTGCACTAGCTGACCCTGCCGTGCCTGCTGCTGCTGCTGCTGCTGCTGCTGCTGCTGCTGCTGCTGTTGCTGCTGTTGCTGCTGTTGCTGCTGCATGAATGGAAGCATGGCAGGATTCCCAGGATGTAGATTCAAATGCTGCTGGGCTATCAGATCCTGACCTGGGTGTTGCTGCTGCTGCCTTGCAAGCGACAGCAGCTGAAACGAAGCATGCGAGTTGAACGACGAGCCTTCCGCGTAGCTACCGCCGTGCACCGCGGCGAGACCTCCAGAAACCATGGATCCCCCCATGCCGCCACCTCCCAACCCCGCTCCCTTCCCAACGTGCCCGAGGCCACTGTTGCCGCCGCCAAACGCGTCGCCAAATCCGCCGTTAAATCCGCCGTTAAAACCGTCGCCGAATCCCACAATCGGGTTACCCTGGCTGCCAACGCCGCCGATGATCGAGCTGCCGCTGCCCTGCGATGCTGGTAACCCTACCGGACCGTTTCGCGGCCACGAATGGCCTCCGCCGAGATAATCGCCGTTCAGATCTGTGGGGGAGATCCGCCTACTACCGATAACCCCGGGAGTACCGAACAAACTGGAACTCCCATTGCTGCTGCCGCCGCCAAGGAAAGACGCTCCTGCAGGCAAGGGCAATCCGGGAAAACCGCCGCTGATGCCGCTGCCGCTGCCGCTGCCGCTGCCGCCGGCGCTACTATTGCTGTTGCTGTTGCTGCTGACGGTTGTCGCGTCGTCCAGCGAAATGTGATGCGCCGACGGCGATGATCCCGAAACGTCAGTGAACGCAACTGCGGGAATAGGAGGGTGAAGTTAAGTCAAGGAGGAACAGAGAGGAGAAAAAAGAAAAGGGAATTTAGGTGAGAGCATGTGGGACAGTGATCCTGGACGAAACAAGCACTAAGCGGGAATCCGACACTTTTGAACCATGGTAACTGAAGCCGTGAGGATTCGACACCGCGAATGGTCGTGAAAGGCTTAGGAGATCGGATAAGGCCGAGAGGTTAGGGCATAGGCGACCGGATAAGGCCGAGAGGATAGAAATGAATTGGTCTGGCGCGACAGGTGAGCGCAAGTGAATGAAGGAGCGACGAAGACAAGGGAGTGCAAACCATCGCAAAGACGAAGAAACGGATCCAAGAAGCTGCTGGAGCAGGACGGATGACGTATACGGGTAAAAATTAGTTGATAGTTAAGCTGATAATTCAGCTGGTTTTAAGGGTCAATAAGGGAACCGACGCAGTGACGAGGGGTCAGTTGAACGATCCAGAACACGGGATCCAGCAAAGGCAGAGTGGAATGACTTGTTAGTGGACTTAGAAGAGACGACTTAAAAGTCACCTCGTTTAACGTCCGGAACTATCGAGATCACAGACACGAACAATTAAACGATAACCAGAACGTCTAGTTGATCCTTATTGAATTCGCCTAAAGAAACGTTTACCACAGGAGAGGTACAGAACAGCGAGGAAACACCTGATACGTCGAGTTCAAGCGTGACAATCGGATCAACCTTTGATTCTAAGGAACAACCAAACATTCACGGATCAAGGCCAGTGCGAACGTACGTTTGGATTCAAACAGGGAGGAGAGCGAAGCGGTGTTGAAAATGGTGGTTTCGGGGTCTGAGACGGCGGCAGCAGAAAGCATCGTGGATCCCGGGCCTGGACTCTCTACCGTATGCCTGTGTCGATGGCTCTGCATTGTTGTCACCGACATCTCATCCCGCTACCCAGACTACAAGTCTGCTATTCCCACAAAACCAGAACCCTATGCAACAGCTTATACAACTACAAAACAGATCCGCTTTCCGCAACCCTAATTCTCTGACTCTAGTCCGGTATATGGGCTATTCAAGGCAAAAAAGGGTCAATTATCGACCACCACGCCGGAACCAAACCGCAGAGACAAAAAGCGGGCTCGTCGTCGGCCATGGACGAACATAGTAAAAGCTCGTGTTATACAAAAGCCTGCAGCCGCAGAATTTGTAAGGAGGGGGTAGGTTTGACGAGGGTTTGGTGGGAGAGGTGTGTGTGACTTGTGAGGCAACGCTGATATGGGAGGGAGGGAAAGGGGAAGGGATAGGGAAGTGTCATGTCGTCTTGAGTTGAGTTGTGGCTGGTGGGGAGGCCCTGCCCACACGAGCTATGATTGGGAGGGAAGAGAAAAGAGAGACAGGGAAGAGAAAGGGGAGAGGTTGGTCGGGATCTGGTTTGGCCAAGGCGAGGTGGACAACAGAGGAACGCGGGTAAGGGAAACGGCGGCGATTGGGAAGAGGGATTGGTTGGGTTGGGTGGGTGGTATGTGCGTGGTGTGGTGCCCGAAAGGGTAAATTTGAACAGTGGTCTTTTTGCAGAGTGGTGAATGAATACCGTTTCTACTGATTACTGTACATACGATTTTGCATAACGAAACCAGGTTTGGCTTTTGTAAACCTTGCGGGCTTCCCCCTATTTTCCAGTAGGCCAACAGACAGGCCCCAGGAAGTCAGGGTATTTTACCCTGATTAGCCTGTTTTTCAGAGTGAATTTTCAAGTTCGAACTCAAATCGCTTTGCACCGTGGCAAAACTCTTCTAATTGTATCCTACCGTGACGACCGTTAGAAAAGTTCGAACTTTCAGTCAGGTTCGGCAAAATCACACACGCCCTAAAAAACACGCAACACGAGGTTCGGTTCGGAGGTCTGGCGTGAGCCACAAACCAAGGAGCTAGTGGTTGGAATAATGGAGCGCGATTGGCCAAAAGAACTCCTTGTCTCACTCGAGTTTTAGCTTCGGACCGAAGCTTTCCGAAGCTGCTACCACGTGTCTGAGAGGGGTTGGTTGGATCCAAGCTGCCAGCGCAGTGGGACATTTCTCCGATAGCTGACGTGTATTTCCCGCCATACAGCAAAATCATACACTTCCCTCCGCACCCGAACAGAGATCTCCGGTGAGGTTGTAGGTGAGAGACATCGCGACAGTTTAAGATATAGTGCAATAACACTCATATAAACTAGCCATCTGATATTCAGCAAATTTCAACTTTAACCAATTGTCGTGCTAATTGAACGACTTTCTCTAATGGACAGTTTGTCTTTATGGCTGTGACTTCCACGTGCGACCGTGAAACCAGGAAACCGCGCTGGATGCAAACAAGGAAAAAAGACAGAACACAAAGCGAGGCTGATTCACAACGGCAGGCAAACATCTTTTGCAAACAAAGATGTGACGCATGCTATGCAGAAACGTACCTCACTTAGCAATCTCATAAGCTCTGAACGTGGAGGCGTGGGTACACCTGCAAGCTTTGAAACCTGTTCAAGCAAACCCACATCATAAATATACTCATACGCAGGGAAAAAGAAGTGTACACCATTGAGAAGCCAAAGAGGGAAAAAGAAACCAAGAAATAGAAGAGGGAACTAGCAAACAAAAAAACTAACAAAACAAAACACACACGAAACATCCTATCCTACCTCACCAATGATGCCATCCATCCACGGCACTCACATGATCCATCTTAAAGAACCACGGAGGCAGTCCCTCCTGTGCCTCCTCCTGCATCACCTCCAGCACCCGCCCTGCTGCCTTCCACCCTTTCACCCGCGCATCCTCTGCCATGTGGCGCAATTCGATTGGGTCGTGCAGTGGGCCCACCCACAGCGGCCCCACCACCACCATACGCTGGCAGAGGGATGAAGCAGTTTAGCAAATGAGAGTGGAAGTGGGGTGGGGGGGAAAAGGCATGGAGAGGCTAAGCAGCCGCGATTGGGAAAAGGTGGGTTTCGGAGAGGGAAATACTGAGGTACGGTGGTTTTTGGCAAGATAGAAGAATAGTGGGGAGGGAGGATGTGTGTGGGGTAGTAGTGTGTGGGGCGATGGGCAATGGAGGGGAGAAGGGAATGCGAGGAGGGATGATGCGGGATGGGTGGAAGAAGGGTAGCCAGGGCAGACGAAGTGCTAATCGGGGGGGCAGTGCAGTGAGTGCACGCACCCGAAGGCCCATTTCACTGAGCATTTGATGATCATCCATGCCACCTGACACTTGCTGCTGCTGCTGCTGCTGCTGCTGGGAAGGAGAAGAGCTTGCTTCCATTGAGGGACTATCAAAGGAGGAGGGGGTTAATGAGGAAGGGGAAGAGGGAGATGTGGTGGCAGCAGCGGCAGCAGCAGCAGCAAAAGAAGCATGGGCTGGATGGCCCTTTCGCTGCAGGCAATTGCAGAGAGCACAGCCGAGTGCATCCCATGCCAGCACCTTGGAGTGCCCACACGAATGACAGTATGCTATGAAGCCAAAGTTCCTGCTCGTGGGCGGGCGGAGGGAGGAGGGAGGAGGGAGGAGGGAGGAGGGAGGAGGGAGGAGGGAGGAGGGAGGAGGGAGGAGGGAGGAGGGAGGAGGGAGGAGGGAGGAGGGAGGAGGGAGGAGGGAGGAGGGAGGAGGGAGGAGGGAGGAGGGAGGAGGGTTGGAGCTGGAAAATGCAGACCGGCATACAGCCTACCAGGCAAAACGCAACGTGCAACACACATGGGTGATGGCAGAGGGACAGAGAAGCATGCCAAACCCACACAGGCTCTCAACACTCACACATTCCCTACCTTCCCTTCCCTCCCGACCCACAGTCCCTCCCATCCCTCCCGCCTTTCCGTCCTTCTCCTCTCCCCCCCCCCCCCCCCTCTCCCTTCCCTTCAACGCACTCACTCACCCTGCCACTGCAGGTGCGGGGACGCAGGGTGCACGCGCACGAGAGCGCGAAAGACAGGCCCGTGGGGCGCGTAGAGGGAGAACATGGGGGCCACTGTGAGCTTGCGCGTGGCTGCTTCACGTGGGTGATGGCAGAGGGACAGAGAAACATGCCAAGCCCACACACAGGCTCTTGGAACTCCCCTCCACCCTCTCCCATCACTTCTCTCCCACTCTCTCCCTTCCCTTCCCCCCTCTCTCTCTCTCCCCCCCACTAACTCACTCGCCCTGCCACTGTTGGTGAGGCGAAGCGGGGTGCACGCGCACGAGCGCTCGAAAGACAGGCCCGTGGGGCGCGTAGAGGGAGAACACGGGGGCCACCGTGAGCTTGCGCGTGGCTGCTTCACGCACCGCCGCCCCCAGCAGCATGCGCAGCCCCAGCTCGTTGCAGAAGGGCAGCGGACGCATGTACGCACCGTATGCTGCTAGCGCGCTGGGGAGGGGGGGGGAAGGGATGGGAGGCAGGAGTATATGAAGGCAATGAACAGCACCCCATGGTTTGGTGCTCGAACAACAGCCGGTGATCAGCAGCGAACAACAGCCGGTGATCAGCAGCGAACAGAACAAGCGCTTGAGAACGGACCATAGCATTGCATTGCAACCGCATCCCCCTCCCCAGCAGCACATGGCAAAGCAGGGCAGGACAGGGCAGGGCAAGGCAGGGCAAGGCAAGGCAGAGACCGGCAGCCTGGAACACCCCAGCATTGCAGCAAGGCATACCCCAGCAGGCAACGAGACCAACCCACCCCAGCAGCAGCGCAAGGCAAGGCAGGGCAGGGCAGGGCAGGGCAGGGCAGGGCAGGGCAGGGCAGGGCAGGGCAGGGCAGGGCAGGGCAGGGCAGGGCAGGGCAGGGCAGGGCAGGGCAGGGCAGGGCAGGGCAGGGCAGGCAGGGCAGGGCAGGGCAGGGCAGGGCAGGGCAGGGCAGGGCAGGGCAGGGCAGGGCAGAGACCGGAAGGGAGCATGGCCCGCGGAGGAGAAGCCGTCGGTGGCGGTGAGGTAGAGCAGCCCCCCCCTCGCCGTGGCTGCTAGCGCTGGCCCTATGAACCGCGTGTCACTGCCGAACGCGTCCACGTCCACCAGTTCAAAGAATTGCCGTTGCTGACAAGGGGGGAAGGGGGAAGGATTGGGGGGGAGAGGGGGATGAAGAGTGGGGAAAGCGGGAAGGGTTGATGAAGCGCGTGTCACTGCCAAACGTGGAGAAAACGTGGAGGGGGAAGAGATTGCGAGCGGGGAGTGCGGAGGGGAGTGCGGAGGGGAGTGCGGAGGGGAGTGCGGAGGGGAGTGCGGAGGGGAGTGCGGAGCGAAGTGCGGAGCGGAGAAGGGCAGTGCGCGGACCTCGTAGCAGCGGTTGAGCACGCGGAGTCCGTCCTCGTGCGTCACCCGCCACCTGCTCGTCTCCCTCCCCGACTTGCCCTCGCGCGCCTTCCGCCACCGCCGGTCGCCCTCGTCCTCCTCCTCCTCCTCCTCCTCCTCCTCTTCACCCCCCTCCGCGTGACCTTCCGAATCCGCTTCTGCCTCTTTTTGCCCAGGGCCAGCGTCGACGGATGTAGCAGCAGCAGCCGCAGCAGCAGCAGCATCCACGTCGGCAGCGGCGTCAGCGGCGTCATCAGCGGCGCCAGAGACGGCTTGCAGGTTGGCGACGAGCGCGGCGTGGGTGTCGACGGACGCGTCGTTGCACCACACGAACGTCGCGCCGCCCTGCGAAAGGTACCGCGCTCCGCGCACGCCGCTCCCGCTCAGCACGTCCAGAACCCTGAACCCCCGCCGCCGCCGCCGCCGCCGCTCCTTCATCCCCCGCCCTGAACCCTCCGCCTCCGCGCCTCTCCGACCGCCCCTTTCCCTTTCCGCGCTCCTCCCAATTCCCGCGACCGCCTCCTCCCCCGCCCCCTCTTCCGCCTGGCCTTCCGCGTGCTGCTGCTCTTCCGCCGCGCTCCGCGTGCGCGCATCCCGCCACGCGACGAGAGTGGCCAAGTCGCGCCCGACGGCGCTCTCGCGGCGGTAGAACGACCCCTGCACCTGCAGACGCAACCCGCGCTCCTCCACCCACTGCACGCCTGATTCCCCCTCCCCCTCCCCCTCCCCCTCCCCTTCCCCCTCCCCCTCCGCATCCCTCGCCCCCTGCCGCTGCGCGCCCGCGCTTTCTACTACCTCGTCACCGCTCTGCGCATCGCTGCGCCGTGTGGCGCAAACCACGCGCGGATACGAACATTGCTCGTCTCCCCTTCTTCCGCGCCGACCGTGCGGCCGGGAAATCGCAACGGTTGAACCCAGAATCTCGGGGCGCCAATTCGGAGCGATGCAATACAGCGAGCCCGTAGGAGAAGTGCGGTGACGAGGTAAAAGCGCGGGAGCGGACAGGGGAGCAAAAGGAGTGGGGTTTGGGGCAATCAGGATGGTGCGCTCCCACGCTGCTGCTGCAGCCATGGTGGATCTCTGTGCTTGGTGTGGTGCAACTGAACGCAAATTCAAAAAACTGGTGCTCGATTTTTTCCGGGTTGTGGTTGTCGCGATGATCGCGCGGTGCAGTGGCGAGTGTGACTCGATACAATGAGCGCCTAGATGAGAGTATTGCATCTGCATATCTTGTTTGCATGAGGTGTAGCAAAGTTTGGGAGAAGTTCAGAAAGCCATGATTTCTGGAACGTTTGTGCTTGAAAACAAGCGCAAGGGGGAATGAATATAGAGTGTACTTCAATTACAGAAATACAAGTGGAATCATACGCATAGTGTAAGGTCACACCTTCATTCCCATGTAATCCTGAGCTTTGGGCACTAGCTAGTGATCTCCACACCCATGGCAGCTTGCCGGGCAGCAAGGGCTCTCTTTGAAAAGAAGTAGCGTGTGGGGGGTCGACTCTTTAGGCGCCTCAGAAACTGTGTCAAGGCCAGCAGAAGCAGTACTGCTAGTGGAAGAAGCAGCTGCAGCATGAGCAGATCGTGAGGCGCAAGAAGATCAGACAAAGCCACTGCAGCCGTGGGGGTGGCCTTGGCTGCAGCCACACCTCCAGCCCCCTCAGTGCCACCTATAGTCGGGGGGGAGGCCGTGGGGGGGGCACAAGGAGGTGTGGAATGTGGTGCATGGGGGGGCATTGGTATGGTACAAAGGAGTGGCATGGGTTGCGTGGTGCATGGCATATGAAGCACATCAGAAGGATGTTCCACACAAGCGGATGTGACTAGGTATTTTTGAGACGTCTCAAAAATAACCTTTCTACGCATGGCACATGAAGCACATCAGAAGGTTGTTCCACACAAGCGGATGTGACTAGGTATGTGACAGGAGCGTATCGGCAAGTGATTGTTGAGCCTCGATACATCCTCAGGTAAGGGAACTGTGGCGGAGGAGGAGGTATGGGAGAACGTGAAGCGAAGGGAGAGCAGGTGCACCGCAGCACAAGCACACAAGATGCTGACTCCCCGTGAGCAGTAAAGTGGAGGCGACTACGCGAGTTGACTTTTGAGTCGACTCAAAAGACGACTCCGTGTGAGCAGTGGAGTTGAGGTGAGCAAGCTGGACTTCCGAGCACGAATGCGTGGGTGGGTTCACCTGGGTGGGAGTGGTGTGGTGGCACGGCACGGCACTGCCACTCCCCCACCGCCCACCCTGCACTGGCACCGTTCCTCAGATCTGTGAGCCTTTGAAAGCAAGCAGGCTGACTTTTGAGTCGGCTCAAAAGTCACCCCCCCACTGCCCACCCCGCACTGGCACCGTTCCTCAAGTCTGTGAGCCTTTGTGGGCAAGCATGTTGGCAGCAAGCAGGCTTTGGAAGACAAGATGCAGCTGGGATGAGCTGGTGGCTGAAAGGGAAGAGAAAGGAAGAAGTAAGCAACTAGTCGTGCATTGGTCAGCAGGCATACCGTGAAGGACGCACGTGCCAGCAGCAGCCCCTGGCGTGTATCCCTCATCACAGTCGCAGTGACCCTCAGGTTCACAGTGGGGTGGCGGCTGTTGATCCTCATCATCCTCACGGGCAGCCATGTCGCGAGAGGGGTCCGGCACGAAGGAGCACACGCCATGGCCGCTGCACGGCGGGGTGAGCGGGTCCGTTCCACAGAATGCCCGGCACTCGCTGGCTCGCCTCTGTTTCTTCCCAGGGAGGCAATAATTGGAGTTGTCTTCAAGGCAGTTGTGGTGTAACAGACACATGATGTGGTGATCGTAAGGGCCGCCTGCGACTGAGTCTGGAAGGGGGTTAGCGTTTGCTGTGGCTGTGAGGTAGTTGCTGTGTGCAGACACCTTGATGATATTGGCCATGTCACGGAAGGAGGGCAGCTCTCCTGACAACTGGTTGCCCTCAAGGTGGCTGTGATGCAAGGGGAAGGCGGGAAGGGAAGAGGTGGGAAACTTTTGTGGAGGCGACTCAAACACAAATGCGGTTATGAGGTAGATTGTAGTGCGCAAAGACCATGAAGGTATGGGGCATGTCACGGAAGGAGGGCAGATCCCCTGACAACTGGTTGCCCTCAAGGTGGCTGTGATGCAAGGGGAAGGCGGGAAGGGAAGAGGTGGGAAAGAAGAGGAGTGGCGGGGAATGGAAGTGATGGTAAAGAGGGAATGATGAGAGGGGGATGAGGGAGTGAAGGGACAGGAGTAGCACGTGCGTGTTGAATGGGATAGCAT